ATAGTTGTAAGCCTCGTTCTTTGTAAAGTAGAGGCTTTCCAAAGTTTTAAATCATTTTCAGCTTATATGAAATGGAGTAGCATTTTTTGGATCATATGATATAAAATATGTAATACGATTTGAAACTCTTATCAATTATTCGACGACTTTTTTCGTCAATGAAAATTCAAAATCAAATTGACAAATTTGAAATTTTTTTTGATCAATGAAAAGTGGATCTAACAATAATGGATAAACTATTTGATATTCTGCTTACCGTGAAGACTAGAAGTCCAACAACTCGATGATCATAAAAAAATATTCGCTGCTCCATGTTCTGCTGTAGATATAGAAAATAATATCACAACGCTGTTATTCGAATCAAAAATCACTCTCTGGAAAAATACCTCCAGTATCTACTAAGTGAATCAAACAAAATCTCATTAATGTAGCTGCTCAGCGTCTATAGAAAAATTGTCGTGACGTTAGAAAGTCTGTCTGTAAGATAAGGAAGAGATTAGATGGCATTTTACTACTACTGTGTTGGCTATGACTCGGTAAATAAGAAGCAATGATGTTATGTCAATCTCTAAATTTTTTCATCAATCAGCAATCTTGATGTACAATGGGGGATTATTCTATTAGGTTGCTTCCTTTTATGCTTCAATTTTTTTATCAAGGTTTTTTAATGATCTCAAATCTGTAGGATTGTGTAAACTTTCATATTAGGTTGAAGCACAAGTCTTGCACCAGAATTTTTGGAGAATTAGTTTTGCACTAGATTTTTTGAAAATTTGTATGTTCCTCCAAAGTTAATGAATCCGTTCCGTATGATCAAGCATAGAGGGAAAATCATGCTGTTTCTGCTAGTGCTCAGAGCAAAAAATTTTATCAACATTTAGCGGCGATAAAAGCTGGTAAACTCAAACTCATAAAATTTATTTTTGGATTTTTAATCATTAAGTATGCTAGAAGGTACTGCAACCTTTAATTTCACCTTTAATTCAAGTTTTATGACCTATGTATGCTTTTTTACCGACGCAAATTTGTGGATTTTGGACTCTTTGGATTTCTTCATGAAAAATTGTAATTTACTAATTTTTTCTTCGAATTCTGCTTTTGTTCAGGTCAGGCTTTCTAACATGCATGATAAGATACTACATATATTATATACAACGGAAAAATATTTTGCAGATCTAAGTGGTGGCCTAAGCATTTGTAAATGAATATTTTTGGAATTTTTTGCAAGACTTATGTTCCAATACAATAATATACGCACTTAGCCTGAAAAGATACGAACGATAGAGAGAATCGAAAAGCAATTATGGCCTTTGCTAATTGGAATACTTGTCTAAACATTTTTGAATAAATGTTTTTGGAATTTTTTTTGTGTAAGACTTATGTTACAACCTAATATTATATGCGTTTAGCCTTACAAAGAAGACATATGATGGAAAAAACAGGATTCAAAGTGATTGAACATTTGGAAACGTTTCACTGATCTAACAGTGCTCCCTCAAGAGAGCTGATAGACAGGTGAATCAGTGATTTTTCAAAATCTAAACAGTATTTCACCAAAGCGAATTTGTTGCGTGATTCAAAAACTGCGAAAACTTTCAAAACATCCTAATACTAAATTTCGCGAAGATTCTAGGAAGCAGAAGAAGGTCTAGGCTACATTTGCTAGTGAATACTCGCAATTAAATCATTTAGCCTATGATCACCGACTCCTCCCAATATACTCAGAATTCTTTGCTCTTCAGCAATTTGATCTTATGCGGGTGTAAAGCTGTAGTTATATCAGTTACTGATTAAGGAAATCCCAAATTGGCTTAGAGCTAAATTACTCCAAATTAGCGTATCAGTGGTTTGAAAGATGAGAACAAGAGCATGTTTAGTCATCTGCGATGTCGACTGTTTATCACCAGTTACTTGTTTTCAAGCACAATTTCATATGAAAATGGGGTATTGTGTGTGACTATTGTTGACCAAACAGACAGGGTTCATTTATTATGTGATACATAAAAAATGCATTATTAAAACTTCGTACTAGGAAACCCTTGCAGCATCGAAATTTGTTTGGCACGCGAGTCTATTGCGGAACTTCACTTCGGTGAGCTTCAGCTTTTCAGCTAATTATTATTTTCACACTACAAAGTCACTGAATTCAATTAGGGCACCGAATCGGAACATAGTGCCACCTTGAACAGGATATGGAAAAGGGAAGCTCGAAAATGAAACAGAATAAGTTAGAGCCGAAAAATATCAGCTTGCATTTATTACGACGTTGTTAATAAAGAAAGAAAAGGTAAAGTTGGACTTACATTTATTAATTCGAAAGATCATGTTTTAATAAAAAATGGTAAAATATGGATTTTTATTTTGTCTGATTAGGTAACCGAACTGTAATAAGAAGCACTCAGCCGCAGCAAATTTTTTCTGAGAAATTTCTTTGAGAGGAGAATGGAGCAAAGGGAGCTTTATCCGATTTGAAACCATTTCGTTTTTTGTTATCAAGTTAGTGAAAAAAATACGAATGACCAAACAATTTCCTCGCCTAAAGAGACTCGAGAAAGATAAAAAAAAATAAAAGTATGAATCAAACTACTAACCGAATAGTCCTAAATGCATAAAAGAAACAGTTAAACATGTTTTGAAGTAGTTTAAAGTAATTTGAATGCATTACAACTCGAGCGACTAATAGTGACTACTAATTGCACCATACCATAACATCAACACACATGAATATGTAGATGAAAATTGAGGGAGAAGCACAAGGTACAAAAAGGGGTGTGGTGCAAGAGGAACGATAGCAATCGCCAGCCGCTGGTGCCAATGCACTATCTGCCTTCACAGTTCGCAAATTGCGAACTTAAAAAAATAGCAGATATAAAATTAATGCTCTAGTCAACTTACTTAATATGTCTTGCTTAAATCCCGGTGGTATGTGCAATCTGGTGATGTTCTTGCAGGAATAAGCTTAAAATACTTAAAGTTTTACCTTTGAGACGTTTTCATGACATTTTCAGCTGATTTTCACATCCCATTTTCAAGCAAACACAATCTATACGATTCTCCTGTCTGGATGAAAGCATAAAAGAAAGAAATGTTCTGAATTTCTGTGTGCAGATGGACAAAAATGACGGTGAAGTATGCGCGAGTTACTGACACCGACCAGCTATCGTTCCTCTTGCTCGCCACCCTACAAAAAGCCCATAGATTTTCGTGGTCCGCGACGAAAAGAGGGGCGAGAATCCTTACTTTACATCTTAACATTCGATACAATATTTTTGAAAAATTTTATGATAAAAGTTTTCAGTTTTTTTCAATTTCCAATTCGAAGAAAACTATCGACTGCGCCAGACTCCCAATTAGATCGTTGTCAATATGCGGTACAAAAACATTAGCTGATCTGCATAATACTTTGAAGACTTCATCCTTAATAAGCTTCTGATTCAAGCGATAAGCGCACATGCTCTTCCGCTCCTATATGTGGAATCATCAACAATTTTCACGCATCAATTCCATCGCTATGCAAGAGCCTAGCTGCTAAAGGTTCGAAGCTCACACTTCGGAAAATAAACTTATTTCAAAGCTTGTAGCTACACTAATTCAGTTTGAAGTAAGAAATTTAAAGTACATGCAGTCCTCACTGAGCAAATTTTGAGAAGGATCTGAATCTCTACTTACAAGGAAAGGATACCAACATTAGTCGGCGATTGGAGATGAGATGTATATCAGTAGACGCGCCTTTGAACGCTGATTTCGAATCTGCTTTCCTTTTTTGCGGATTAAGTTTCCGAAAGAAGTTGTGGGCGTTCAAATGTCCAAATTTGTTAAAATTCAGGTGTCCTAAAATTGGCTAAAAGCTGTATCTACAAAAACACCAAAAAATGGGAAATCCTTTTTGTATCGAGTCTAGTGTTTGCAAAGAAGGAACAAAGTCAGTAGAAATGGCATGGGTGTTGTTTTAGAGCTTTTCGCTGATTTTAAGCCACTCAGTGCTTGGCAAATCTGGACATTCAAACGCTCATAACTTCTTTCGAAAACTTATTCTGCAAAAAAGAAAAGCAGATTTGAAATCAGCGTTCAAAGGCGCATCTAATGGTATACATCTCATCCCCAATTGCCAACTAATGTTGGTATCATTCCTTTGTTAGGAATTCCAATACGGGCAGCTGTGAAAGTAGCCTATTTTAGTTGTAAAATCATGCAAGTCTTCTTTTTCATGGATGATTTGGGAAAGCTGTGAAGTTTTCAAATAATAAACCAAGTTCATAAAAGAAGTCTTTTTCTGAGCATTTTTTTTCATTTTGTTTCATTCAAATGAGTTTTCAAATGGTATATTGACCTGTAAAAAAAAGTTTCGCGGGCTACTTCCTCCTCACTCACCACTTCTACTTCAAAAATTTGCATACTATAAATTTTTTGAGAAAGAAGAGACTTAATGTCCTGCTTACTGAGGATTTCTGTGGCCGTCAGGAGAGGAAGAAACGGCTCCGCCCCTGAAAATATGTTGATTCTTGAAATTGATCTACATGAGTTTCAGATATATGCGAAAATGTGTAAAATTCTCGTTTACTTTCCAGAAAGCAATTAGCTTTGTAGAAAACTGCATGAAATTTTTCTTCGAATCTTGGCGATTAGCCCCCAAAAAGTTTAGGAAACAAACCAAAAAATTTTCAAAAGATGTGGCTAGCCATGCCCTTTCATTCGAGAAATTTCTGCCAAGAAAATTTCTCGGACCACCACTGTGTGCCCATATGGCATTACGTGGCAGGACCACGCCCGCTATCTAACCCTTCCATGTCTAGTTGTTTGTCATGTTCCCTTCTAGCGGCGATCATCGTTTGTTGCAAATTTTGCGCTGCAAAGGCTGAGTTTACGTCTAGATTTGAAAAGTGGGACGCATACTTAGCTAGAGAAGCGCGCAAGCTGAATTTGCGCAGAGTTATGACGTTACATACTTGTTACACAGTTAGAACCTTGTTTCTGAGAGCACAGTCAACAAAAAATCACATCACCACGATTTATACGAAACTAGTAGTCAGTTCAAAGCAAACGAACGGCCACGAACATTTATCACCGTGAACATCGACAATTAGTCTATGAACGAATGTTCGCAATCAGTTGTCTTTATGTTGCCACAACAGCTTTGTTGGTGAAGAGTTCACCATAGGACAGCGGTGGGACGATGTTAGGAGCTAGCTGGTAGAGGAATGGTGGTCCTTTATTCTTCTGAATTAGTGTGACAACACTTCCTGGTGGGAATCTGAAAGATTTGTTCGTTGTAGAGGTTTTACCCAATGAGTCCTTACCTAACACCCAAAGTCGTTTGATCAATGACTTCATTACCCAGGGTATCGATGCTCATCTGATACTCGAACGAAGTGATAGGAGTGCCCGAATCGCTCGTAGTCGATCTTCCTTTCTGATCTCCTTGAGAACTTGCTGAAATGCAGGAACTTTGTCTTATTACTGTGCTTCTAGCATAGCTACCGTATACCTATCGCAAGGGCAACGGCCATTGTGATGGCATGTCCAACCACAACCAGTGGTTGCTTTCGTTGTTCACCAGATAGGCTGCGCAGCACGAAATCGATGCGAGCTAGTCCTTCTTGCTCAGTTTCTCTGTCGTAAAGCTTTTGAATGGCTTCCATTGTCATAACAGGGGAGCTAAAATGTGTTTGGATTAGCGTTGACAATAGTTTTGTAGGACATTGACTGCGGGAGGCACAGATTCAAATTTCGCGCCGTGTGTACCCATCGTGTCGGGAAGTGCAGTGGCCTATAACCGCGCGCCGTGGCAGTGCGGCGGGATTGGCCGCTGCGCGTCCCGACACGATAAGTAGCGTCAGGGGACGTGGCTTCGGATCGCTTCTGTCTGAAGGTAGGAGATGTGCCTTCCGCATTGCCTTTATGTGATAGGATCGAGCTCACTAGTTCGTATCAATCGGATACATCTTGCAGATGAGATCAAGACTAAAATCAGGCAGTGATTCGCTTCCAGCACGATACCATGAAAGCGGTTCAAGCAGACCCGGTTCTATCTGAAAGACCCAAAATTCGTTACAAGTTACCTAATGTCGGTAAACTACTACTCACCACTAAGCCTGCTTTCAGGAAACGTGCCATTGCGTCTGCAGTTTGAATGGAGCGAAGAGTTGGCGTACAGACTATGAACTGCGGTGAAACTCCACGATTGCAAATTCCACGTGCTGTCAGTTGGGCAGAGTATTTTCCTGAAAGAAGTCCCATAGCTGTTCCTTAAAGTTGCTGAGTGGAGAGGTCTCTGGGCCAACGTGAGATTGCGTGCAAAGTTACCCGTGCCAGTGGCGTGCCAGTGGCGTTCCAGCGTGTTAGCGCATTTATGGAGTGTGTTTGACTGATTAACATGTAGTGCGTCCCATATGAGTTTCGTCGCGGCGCTAGCACGGCAACAGCGCTGGAACGGGACTGGAGCAGAGCTGGAACGGCGCTGGCACCGGGCGGCACAGTCAACACTTGAATCAGCTTGACGCGCGGATTATCGATCAACTGCAAGTGTACTGCGGCAAGAGAGCTTTGTTTTGTGTGAAGATCTCCATTCATCACAACCTGTCCATATCCTGAAACCCTAGCGAATGAACTACACCTACCGAATGGGGTTATCGGTGGGTTATCAACGAATACTTTTCCATAGAGCAGCTTCTTGGTCATATTGTTGTGTGGGATGTTGAGATCGGTCGGTGTGAGCTGAAACATTTGCTTATGAGCTTTACATTAGCCAGGGAAGTTCCAGAAGCGTACATAGCCATGTGGTGCTTCCGTATCCGCCCAGTCCGGTCCAAAGACGCGGTCGACACGCTCGGCTGAGCGCATTAAGATGATCAGACGACCGCTTTGTCTCTTTCCGGATACTCTCGGCCAGTACGAGCAGGTCATCACACCAGGCTGAAATGATCATGGTAAGCGTGGTAGACCAAGCGCCCTTACCCACCTCATACTGGGTATCAGGCGTGAGAGTTGAGCTAACCGAACTTGACGTGCCACGTTTGCCCTTCTTCGACTTCTTTTTACTCTTCGACTTTCTCCTTCTTCCAAACGATCCCAAAGATCTGAGAGATTCTCTAAGGCTTCTTTTCTTTCTGCTCTTATGACTCTTATCACTCTTGCTCTTCTTGCTTCTCTTGCTTTTCTTGCTCCTCTTGCTTCGCCTCGATTTCCCGCTCTTCGTTCGGCTTTTGTCACTCTTGCTCGACGACTTGCTTCTCTTACTTTTCTTACTTCTCTTGCTTTTCTTACTCTTTCTCTTCCTCTTATTGCTGCAGCTCAGAAAACTACCGCGGCCGCTTTTCTTGCTCCCTTTTTTGCTTGATTTCGATTTACTGCGACTCTTGCGCTCTCTGGGACCACTACCACCGGCAGCTCCTCGACTCGACCTTGGTTTTTTCTCGGGATCAGACTTCCCTCCTCTTTCTCGTGGTCCCGACTTGGCCGTTTTCACCATTTGTTTCTCATTCTGCTCTGGGCCAGGACCAGTGCCCATACCAGTGCCAGTGCCAGTTCCAGTCCCAGTCCCAGTCCCAGTCCCAGTTCCAGTATGAGCTCCACTCATGGATGCGGATCTTTTGCTTCTTCTCCCACTTTTGTGTGATTTCGGGTGTGGGCTCTTTCCCCTGGAATGGCTTCGTCCACCACGACTTCGGCTTCTTTGGCTTCGTCCACCACGACTTCGGCTTCTTCCCCTACGAGAAGACTTTGGCCGTGACCCTGTGTTGCTCCGGCTTCTGCTTCGCCTTCGTTGAGATCTCTTCGATCTCTTCGACCTCCTCGACCTCTTGGACCTCTTCTTCGATTTGCGACTTCCATGCGACGATCTGCTCTTTTTGCTCTTCTTGCGGAATGATGGCATACTGTAGTCTTCCTGAAGAAGCTGGAGATAAGGCATCGGCTTGATAGTCCCATGACGATGGCAGCAGACCTGATTACATCTGACGTGGAAAGCAAACTGAGCAATCTAACATGATCGCAGCCTTATATAGGACCATGTTTGTTATCATTGGGTTTAGATCTTATCATTCAAACATCACATTACTTTTTGGAAACCTATTTGTCTGAGCAGTGGCCATAATGATCTATTGTCTTGTAGAAAAATGAAATAGAGGTAGAAGCCTCAAAAGCTTGGATAGATTAAGCCGTAAGTGAAAAATCAAATTCGGCAGAAGATTTGAAATACGTTATTCTTTTTTCATTAACGATCATCTTTGCAGAGGTCTACTAAGCGCGCGGATTGAATCTAAAGGCAAAGTCTAAGCAACCCCGACTAGAACCTTGCTTAAAGGCAGTGTCCGGGCAAAAACTCGATCTTGAGATTTTTTACTTACCCGGGCCTATTCGCTACGCTGAATCCGAAAATGCACATTAGCGCGAAAACGGCGACAAACGGCTCCAACACGGGAGGGAAATCAGCAGGTGGGCGGGGTCCTCCCCACTGTGAAATCACATTCCCAGCTTCCAGAGCGATCTTCTCGGTTCCAATTTCAAGTCATGCATTCGCACCTGGCCGGTGGAGATCTCAGAGCGCTAGGTGAATTGGGAAGATCGCTCCAGAAGCTGGGATGCGAAATTCACAGTGGGGAGGACCCCGCCCACTTTCGATTCCCCTCCTGCGTTAGAGCCCTTTTTTGCCTTTTTTGCGCATTCCAATTTGGATTTTCGGATTCAGCATAGTGAATAGGCCCGGGGGGCACAAAATCTCAATTCGACTTTTTGCTCGGACACTGCCTTCAAAAGCATGCCCCAGGAGGATATTTTTTATTTTATTTTATTTTATCTCTGCATACAATGATGCGCCAAACGAACGTGATAGTTCAATAAGTTTGTCTCGCTTTGAAATAAATGATGAGGAATAAAGAGCTAATTTCTCGAAAGATCAAACTATATAGTAAAAAGAAAATTTGTAGCCTACACTCAATAGGATTATAGATGTAAGTATGATGAGGAAGGATGGTTGTCATGCTGCAGCCATGGTGTGAATAACCTTTGAGTTATCACTCTCAAGCGAAAAAAGAGAAAGACACCTGAGCGAATGGGCTAATCCATGCGTGCCCAGGCGGGTTAACCTCTTTGAGCTTTCTCTTACATCGCTCCCATGGGTAGAAAGGCAGCAAAGTATAAAAGCATTTGTACGATAGGCCTATGAGTGAGGCTAAATAAAGTTAAGGAGAGAATCAAAGTGGTTTGATTTTTGGGGAAGCTAGCTCTTGCACATATATTAGTAAACACAAAACACTCAAAACAAAATCCAAATCAACTATAACAGAGGAAATTAAGTGATCTCAGAATATTTTACTTGCATTAAATTAAGTGCATTAATTCTGCGTTTAAAAGCAGCTACAGTGGGAGCTTGCAGCGGGGTACACGGTAATGCACGAAGCCAGCGAGGAATTCTATAAAAAAAACTGTTGAACACAAAGCGAAAACGTTTTCTTAAAATACGTGAATAATAAATGCTAAACCCACCATTTCTACTAGTCGGTCTGAAAATCCAGTACTTACTCGCACTGAGTCTAAGCTCTTTGCGAATGAGTCGAAAAGCAAAGACAAGATCTAGATATACACGTCTATGTTCTAAACTCTTCATTGCCAAGGACCTGAGTCGAGTCTCGTAAGTGGGCATTTCAACAAAGTTGAATTTTCGTCGGCACCTCATATATAGTATTCGAGTAAATGTTTGTTGAACTTTCTCTAGTTTTCGTATGTCTTTCTTGAGAAAAGGACTCCAAACAACAGAGCAGTATTCTAGATGAGGTAATACGTAAGCATTATAAAGCCGTTTGAGAATCAGAGGATTTTCAGTATGGACATTTCGAAAAATAGCAAACAACACTGAAAATGCTTTGTTGACTGCATGTTCAATATGATTAGTAAATTTTAATTCGGGATCTACAAAAACACCCAAGTCCTTGGCAATGGAGCAGTTTTTCAATTTGATTCCATTTATCTCATAAATTGGCAAGTCTTCATCTCCAAAATGCATTACAAAACTTTTTTCTAGGTTCACAGGTATACCAGAGAGAGCAGCCCAGTTCATCATTTTTCCAAGAGACGCTCGTATTGCTGAACGAACCTGTAGTTTATTTTCATTACTATAACTTCCATATATCTTTATATCATCGGCATACATCTGAATTGTCAGATGTATGGATGTGCTCAAGATAGATGGAAGTTCAGCAGTGTATAGTAGAAAGAGTAATGGAGAAAGGACTGCTCCTTGTGGAACACCACTTGTGCAGGGTTGTCGATCAGAAAAGTGGTGTTCAACCTTGACGGTCATGCCTCTGTTGTGCAAATATGACTTTAACCAATTCAATATGTTTCCTTTTAGACCAATTTGTTCCAGCCTGTTCAAAAGCTTTCCATGATGAACTCTATCAAATGCCTTGGAAAGATCAACGTAGATCACATCAATGGAATTACCAATATTAAGTGCTAAATTCCAATCAAAAACTGAGTCTACAAGATTAGTGGCAGTAGATGACCCTTCCATAAAACCGTGTTGATTCATAGGGATCACGTTAATTTTTCCAAGCCATGAGAGTAATCTGTTACGCAAAACTTTCTCCATTACTTTTACGGCTGTGGGAGTCAGACTGATGGGCCGAAAATCTGAAAGAAGGCGTGCGTTGGAGACCTTAGGAATCACAGTGACTATTGCCTCCTTCCAGATTTGCGGCACCTCACCAAGCATCATCGATATGTTAAACATATGCGCAAGAGGAATAGAAAGAGATGAGGCACATTTTTTAAAAACAATTTGTGGGATTCCATCAAACGGTTCACTGAGAGATGGGCTTAAACCAGCCAAAATCTTCTGAATCTCCCAAGGACTAAAGTGAACGTTTGATAAAGACCGGTAACCAGTAGAAATGGGTGCAGTACAATTTATGCGTTCAGCTTGATCACTGGAGTCAAAAATAGCAGCGAAATAGCGCGCTAAAGCTTGTGCTTTTTCTGCATTCGTGTGATAGGTGCGGCCCATTTGGTCAGTTATGGTCGGCAGATGACGATTAGGCTTGATTTTTTGATTTATGTAATCAAAAAAGAATTTGGAGTTTGCTTTTTTGGCCAGATTATGTTCTCGATTGGATAGATATCTCTTTAGATGGTAGTCGACATCTTTGCATACCTTCTTGTACATGGTATTGGATAGAGGATCTGATGTGTTATTGAATAACCTTTCTTTCTGCGCAAGAAGTTTTCGTATATGATTAGGGTATTGCAAATGAGGTTGGGCCATAGAGAAGGGAACAAATTCCGAGAAGGTCTTGTACATAAAGGTGCAAAATCTGTAGTAAACGTCATCAGCGGACCAGTATTGATCAAACAAGCTTAGCCAATCAATATTGGCAAGGTAGCTGTTGAGAGAAACGTAGTCAACCTTTCGAAAGTCGGGTCGAGGCAGTACATTAGGGGTGAAGGCTTTTATAGAAACAAAAAATTGAACTATTCGGTGATCAGAAGTTGCGAGAGGAGACATAGTAAGAATTTCAGAGATATTAGAAGAGGTAGACAAAACAAGATCCAGAATATGGTTGCAGTGTGTTGGTTCTTGGACATACTGTGTGAAGCCAGAGCGATGAAAGAATTCAAAAAAAGTTTCAGAAGTCTTGTTGAGAGGAGATGTATTGATCCAATCAATTTGTAAGTTAAAATCGCCTAAAAGAATTGTATTTTCATTTTCACTCACAAAATTACATAATAGTTCAATCAACTTATAGTCGCTTGAAGTAGTACTATTTGGTGGACGGTAGACTGCGATAAAACGCATACAAGTATGCTGTTGTTGTGAGGTTACATCGATACAAAGGATATTAGACATAGTGCTACTATCAGATACGAATGATTTCACTGGGAGAATCATTTTAGATAGGCAGCAAATACCGCCTCCCTTACGGCTTCGTCTATCTGAACGTAAAACCAAATAAGGCAACTCCCCCACAATCTCGCTATCTTCAATCTTATTCGTCAACCACGTTTCAGTCACAAAAAGTATGTCGGGTTTATTCTCTATCAAAAAGGCTCGAAGGTGATGCAGTTTGTTTACAAGACTTCTGGCATTCAACATAGTAATCTTTATTCTATCTCGCATACCATGCTGGATCATTGGTTTCCCGACCTCTTTACGGGTATCTCCGACACTCTGATAACTTGCCCTCTGTATACTACCCACTCCCGATCTGATTTCCCTTTGTTCCTCTCACGTGCTTCCTGCCTTAGGTCATATTCGCGCTTACGTTCCTCCTCTGTCATACTCCTTCGTATGTACACGTTGGAATGACTTGTCTGACGAAGGAGGCGTGCATTTGCCAAAGCTCTCCTCCAATAAAAGGAGGAGGGCATGACAACTTTGCTCAAGCGTGAACGCGAATTGTTCGGTTTACCCATCCAGTAAACCTCCGAAGGGGCACAGTCGACATCCACAACGTCGAGAATCTCACAAACTTTGTCTTGTAGATAAACTCGACGTTCGGATGGGCGCAGCCCCTCCGGAGGTTCCTGGATTCCACTTATGACCAGGCTTCGAGAACGTTTCTCTGCCTCTAGGACCTCAGAAAATCCAGAAGAAATTTTTTCGGCTAACACAGAAAGCATTTTTTGGATTGTTGGATCCCTATTAAGCTCGGAGGTCGATTTGATCAGGTCATGTATTGACATAGCACTAAATTCATTTCCTTGATCTACATTGACACTAATCCGATTCTCCTGTGTTTTCTGAGAGGCGCTGAGTCCTTGGATTTTGTTAGAGCGAGTACGCGCCATGTGATTTTGATAGTTCAGTATCAAGAAAAAACTCAGAAATCCAAAAGAGTCAAATTAGTAAGGAAAAGAATAGCACTACCAATCAAAATCGGCCTCAAGGGGATCCAATCAAACCAAAAAAAGTTCAAAAGGATGCAATATAGACAATTAAATAGAAGCAAAAAGATTTACGTGAGAGAGAGCCGAAGAATGCAACCGCACGTGGCGTCGACACGTTCGTGAATGTGTTGGTCTATATGTGTTAATGTCTATATAATATCTGTGTTGGTCCGGCCTCTGAATGGGAAAAATGGACGTGGAACCCACGAAAGTACTATCAAGCCACGCCTCTCTATCAAGCTCCGCCTATCCGAGGATTGAAAGTTGCCCACTCCTTACATTAGAGAGTTCCCAGAAATTGGGCTTTTTGGTTCTTCCTAACGTTTTGCACTTCATGACTGTGATCAGGACCACAGAAAGGCCCCAAAATGACAAAAACGTAGAAGCATAAATTTTGGATAGATGTTGCCTTTAAATGCGCAGAGCGGATCTTCGATCTGACAAGTGCGCTTTCGCTGCATCACCGTCTGGTCTCTCCTCAAATCAGTGCTCTCTCGTCTGTCCGCAGTCACGCCCTACCCATGCGTAGAATGCCGTCTATTCAGTATCGAGCCGGTATGAATAATAAGAGTAAGTATTTATTGTTTCATATTTACAAAACAGCAACAACAATCATAGGTTCCGCAGTCTTCGCACGTCATCCTTGTAGAATTTGCTGTAATCGATATCTAGCGATGATCCCGAGTATTGATCGACAAGATCATAGACTTTCTTAGGAAGCTGTTTCTCTGTAAAAAAAACAAAAGCTTGGAAATGTTTTTGTAGAAGCTAACGGATGAACCTTCGGCGCTCCGTTTCCCTCGTCGTTCAGCTTCGAATCGTTCATAGGCTTGTTGAAATTCAGAATACCTAAAGTCAGCAATTACTTCAATTTGATTGAGCGGCGGGGACCGTGACGCCTATGAGTCGCGTTACAAGCGCACATGCATTATTGATTTTGTCGCACGAGTTTGCGCATGTCCTTTGCTTCCAAAATCAATAGAAAAATAAAAATATAGTAAAAATAGAAAAAATAAAAGAAATGAAAATAAATTGGTATACCTTTGCGGCGGCAATATTTTGCTTATGTAAGCGTCAATATGTTCCTTTACTTGATCCTCGTCTGCACCTTGCTGTCGAGCTTCCGTTACTAGCTCGTGTAGAGTTTCCTGGAAGAAAACACAATTTTTGCAAAAAAGGGGACCGCATTTGTTGTACCTGCTGGTCCTCGGTCAAAAACGTTGCATAGGGAGACATTGGACATCCCCGTTTCGCTCGTATTGAGTTTCCAGTACTGGACAAGCAGTCTGTATTGGTTGAAAGGCAGAAGCTAGAGAAATACAGGAGCAGAATAGCAAGAACTTGACAGGTGATTCTTGCCATGCTTCTGAATGAATTCATTGACTTGAATGAACAGAAACATTGCGAAATAGTCAAACAATAGAGTCTAACAAAAGAAAAGATAAAAACGAACGTAAAATCATCGTCAAAATAGGGATAGTCGAGAGGTCTTGAGAGAGCTCTGCGGAAATACTAAAAAGCAATCGTAAAGTGTAAAAGTAACAGATTCACTCAGGCCAAATGAAGGATTGAAACGAAGTAAATAAAGTGAAGTAACTCTATCAAAAAATTTCACAATTATTAGGTTGGTGCAAAAGTAATGCGCGTTTTGCGAGTTCTCACTTTGACGTGCTATAACTTTCTAAAAACTCCATATCTTTCAGGGCGGCAAAATCCACCAGAGGCACCAAACCTCTCTCTATACAGCGCACGTTGATTTGTGCTAATATCGCAAAACGGTGAAAAAATATGGATTGATAAACAAAAAAAAATTTTTTTTGGAAACCTCGTTTTTAACTGATCATAAGTTCCTTCAAGATTTTTTGGTATAAATGAAAAGTTGACTGACTTGTAGCCGCGAGCCAGTAGTACAAATAAAAGTTGAAAGGGGCTCAAACAAAGAAGATTTGAGGAAAGGAAAAAATAATATTTAAAATTGCCCGCTTTTTTCGACATTTTTTCGTAGCCCTCAAAATCCCAAAACATGGAGATTTTTCATTTTCTGTGTACTGAACAGCTTCCAAGTTTCTGCAAAAACTGTCAACAAGAGGTCCACCCTTACCCTTACAGGAGTGAGCAAAACTTTGGCGATTGCCTTCTTCAAAGGAAATCTATGGGCCACAGAATGTTCAAAACCATCACTCATGTTGGGGCACCGAAATCTCAGTCTAAATAATTTCTGAGAAAACAGCAAAGCGTGCATAACGTAGAAAATTTCTACTACATACAGTAGTTAAATTTTCAAAAGAGTGCGATTTTTCGCGCTCAAATTCTGGCCAAAAAACTAAGTGCAATGAAATTCTGGTTTCGAGTGCGGTTGTATGAAGCTCTATAAATTTTTAACGATTGAGGCTAGAAGCTTCTTTCAACCACCATTGAATAGAGCATGAAAGAAGCTTCTTCAAGGTATGCTGTGTAAGTTTCATAGGAGAAACTTCGATGGAGAAAAGCTTCTTGAAATAAGGGCTAGAAAAACGCGCATTACTTTTGCACCAACCTAATACATATTGGTTTCGTCGGAAAGTTCGTTCGCACCATTCTGAAAAATGGTAACTTCCTTCTAAACGAATTTGCTGGCTCATATTTCAGCTAAATGAGGAAATCCTGCAGCTCCTGAAGTTAGAGCTTACAATTAGGTCCTCTCTTCTGAACGGGTTACAGAGATAAAAATGCAGGAGAAAGATCATTCCACTTTCGGCTATTTCAAACAAGCTTACCAAGCTGAAAACATAACAACAAAAGCCAAAACGGTCTTTAACGAGAGATCGTGACCTCCTCTTTTGCGAGCAAAATTTTGCGCTGATCAGAAGTGTTCATGAAAAGTTGTAATGTTTGCGGCTTGATTTCCTTGTACGAAGAATTTACTAGAAGTAAATCAATGCGCATAACATAAAGTTAATAATTTTTTGAAAGTGGTGTTACGAACTTTGCACCACATAATTATGGATGTGAAGAGGCTGGTGCAGAAGGATCTTTTTTTGTGAAGAGAAGAAGTTTTGAGTTCTACAAAAGTCGACGAATTTCAGCAAAATAATAAGGGTAGATCGGCTTTGGGCAATGTAAAGTCTGGTTGGCATTCGTAGAGCCACTTCGAGCAGTGAGTATCCTCACATTCTAGTATAACTAGACATTCTTCTGCTGTTTACATTTTTCTCTCTGACTATACCAACGAGAACATTGCGAGAAAAATTACCAAAGTTTTTCACTCTTTAAAATCAGAATTCGATTCTTCCACAAGGGAGAACGTAGACTGAACTATTGGGTAAGCCCGAAAGTTCTTTTGCACCATATTCAGAAATTCATAGCTTCTTAATTTTTTAGAAAAATTTATCCATAGTTTTATCCTAAGAATGGAAATCATGTGCTTTACATAGCATATGAAAGACTCTATAAGATGCAAACATTGCAAAGATAGAGGCTGAAGAAGATAATCAATGAAATCATGATTCTGTGCAGAGATTCCAAAAATTTGCACTAATAATTGGACCATTTGTTATTATGAGTTTTATAACCTGCTCTATCTGAGAAAAGTTGTGCTGAGCGAGCATTTCTGCCAAAAATTATAATTTCTGCCAAAAATGCAAAAAAGTCGACTCTGAACTCTAATAAAGCAAAACGTAATGAATTTTTGACATTGGTATATAAGGTCAAATGCCAAGCTTCAAAAGCTTTAAAAGTGGAGAATCAGTTTATGATGTATATTGGAGATACGTGAATCTCAAAAAATCTCAACTTCACGCAGATAGGAAACCCCACGAAAACCTTGGACAACGCTTAAATACAGTCTTGCTTTCAGCAGCAAATAATGGTGGCCTGTTGTGAATGTTTACATAGAGGTGACTGGTCAAGCGCTTTTTTGGCTTGTCAGAGCGCTTTGTTTGAATATTTGAAGAGCACAGAAATTGCAAGAGGAACTCTTGTAGTCTGGGTTTGTTATTGGAACAAAAAGGGGAGTTTTTTCACAGCGCAAAATCAACGCTAGACGCTTCAAGGAGTAGTGGTAGAGGAGGTTTCAAATTACTGTAGCCCGGTTACCCTATTCCTTGAAGGCAAGAAGTTTGGTAACATCAGCTGGAAAAATAGAAAAATGGTAAAGTAAAAATTAATGGAGACAATTTCGCTGCTATGCAAATTTTATTGATTCATATAATAATACAGGGTGTCCCAAAAAAATGTATCGAACGTTTGATCGTTAATATCTCTCTTCTGAAGAAGTCTTTTCCCTTGCTTCAGGTACCAATCTGTAGAGCTGGCTTCAACTTAGATTCACATTACAGAACAAATCGCTCATCTCTCTTCATTACTGTAGGATTACGGTAGAAACTTCAAAGAGGGTTTTAAGCTGAAAGACCATATTTTGCCTCAGAAAGAAAAACAAAACAGCCTCAAAACTTTTACACTGGGCTAATTAGAGTTGCTGATTATAACTGTAGAGTTCCCAACTTATTATGATGCTTCATTGAAGAGTTATGCCGGGTAAGAGGTAGCGGCCATTTTTTTCAGTGTTCCTAAAAAATGCGGTTACGCCGTTCAGGAAGCTTCGTAAACTCGTGAATAGTTGAGTATTAAACTAAGCGTCTATAAAAACCCTATTACACAAGTTTTCACATTTTTTTTGAAAAATTTTGAAACGGCAGCTTTTTCCACATTGACACCATATGTTTCAAGTTTCTACCGTAATCCTACAGTAATGAAGAGAGATGGGTGATTCGTTCTATAATGCAAATCTAAGTTGAAGCCAGCTCTACAAAACGGTACCTAAAGCAAGGCAAAAGACTTCTTGGGAAGAGAGATATTAACGATCAAACGTTCGATACATTTTTTTGGGACACCCTGCATAATAATTCAGCAATTTAGTAATTAATAATTTAGTAATTTCTTTTTTTTTTCAAATAAATGTCACATTTGGGATCAAAGATTTCTGGGAGATTTTAGCAGCAATCCATGCAACTGATGCTACTGGCTTCCATATTTGGTAAACTCAAGTCTCATAGAATAATAACCGACAAGAACTCGGATGTTATTCGATGCTTCTTTTTCCCTCTCTTCAACAGTTGTTTTTTTGTTCCGTTTATAAAGTCTGCGTGATAAAATCAACAGATTTCATATTTCGAACCTCAGGGAAAAAGAAAACGCTTTGAAAAAGCCTCAGGCTTTACCCGAAAATCTTGAAAGTTGTTATTTTGAAGCGATAAATGCTCAATTGCTTCAGACTACTGTTGAACCATAATTCACTTCTGAAAGTTTCGACTTCCTAACACTTATCGGTGTTTGATGCGTTTATGCCTGATAGTGAGGCAAGTCTGCTAAGATCCGATCCAATGAAAAAATCTCATTAAAAAAATGGTCCCAATGAAAAAAAACTATCAAAAAAATGGTCCCAATGAAAAATTTATCAAAAAATTGTGACGGGATTCTAAGGAAAGAAAGAAATTCTTACTGTTTCCTGTAAGGGTTGGTCTATCCATGCACTCAAACTTCTTCCGAGCTTCAAACCTAATCATCTCAAAAAGCATGGTTGCAGGTTCTTGTGATTTTTCAAAAGCTCACTGAATATTGTTCAACGAAATTATAACCACTTGAAAGAGGAGAAAGTGCTACATCCAGTGATCCCAAAACCTCTTGGAAATCTTTCTTCCACGAAGTGCGGCATTCATTTGAAAAAAGCGACATTATTTTCGATACTACCTGATATAAACAAATGATTAAATTGAGACGATATAATGAGATTTTTGGAGGAAAAATTGGTACGAAACGGTAAGCTAGCAGGGTGACCGAGCTCAGACGCGTAAAAGCTTTGACTCGAAATCAAAAACGAATCGAAAATGCAAACAGACATCGCCAAAGGAGGAGAAGAGATTAGTTTAAGGTGGTGTTAGGGCTCGCACGCACACGACGTCACAGCCAACAGCTTTCAAGAGGTGAAGCACTTGAAAGGAGTGACCACGACGGTCACATCTTTGTGATGTCGTAGTTGCAGTACTCCTCTTCGAGAGGGGGGGGGGGGGAATGAGTGAAGGTTTGACTTTTCAAAAAATCGGGTATTTAAATTTGTCAAAAATTTTTAAGAACATTCACAACATGATCACCTTGCGCTTAGGCAAGAATCGACTTTTTTCAGCCAGGTTCTAGAGATATTTTATAGCATTGATCATTTACAAAATTAGATTGTCCACCAAACCACCAAATATCCACTTAGTCATGGAGCAGGTAAAGTGCAAAGCTAAAAATCAAAATTCCTCAAATATCTAGAAAAATCGGATCTCCATCTAGGAAATTACAACGAACCTCCAACTTGATCATCACACAGCAAACACATAGTACTAATCAAAAAAGCATTCGCTGGGTTTTTCCGCGCATAGAAATCGAGAAAAAAATAGTCTAGAACCGGCAGAGTCTACCCTCTACCAGCTCCTCCCACGCATGTGATTGTCTACAACAAGCGCAAGTAAATATAATCCTAAAAAATTGGATTCCTTTCTAGGGAAAACCTAAAGTTATGTCTCTGCATATGTCCTGCCTATTGAAAATATTAACATAAGAAAATCAAAAAAGATTGATTTCTTTGTACCGGGCTAGTTTTATTTCGTCATTTTGGTCTCTGGAAAAAATCCAGGAATGCATCTTTGGTTACTACCATGTGTCTATTGTATGATGACCAAGATGAATGTCCGTAAAAATTTTCCGTAAGAAGATCCGGTTTTTAAGTTGAAAAATTTTAGTTTTTGGCTCCAAACTTATATACCTACATTACGACTCATGTTCAGGTGGAACTTTGGAGGTCATTTTGTAGTGCTGATTCGATTTATCAAATGGTCCCTAAGCCTGCTATGTATAAAAGTAAAAACCGCTTGATTTATTGGAAAACGGGTTTACTGGGACAATCTAATGAAAAAAGTTTTTTTCCCAGGTTTTCCAATTAATAGACTCAAAGGCATTCCATGTGTACTTCTTTACCCATGTAAACCATTGTCAAAAATATGGTGATCCATCAAGCAGAAAGAGTAGGAGGCTGGGGACGACAGCTCGAGTCCAAATGATTTAACGTGCTCATTCGAGTAATGAGAATTTAGCTCTATTGCAAAAACTCTTCAAATGACGCAATTATCACGGTCTTTAGGAGAAAAGAAGTTAAAGCTAGAAGAGAGACCGATGAAGAGAGTATCTATTACATAATTTTTAGTGGCTATTCTTATGGTCTCTCAACTGACTTCTCACTGCATAGTTATATGTTTTGGAATGTAAGCTTGAGACAGGTTGTTAAGATTTTCTCGTATCATTTACAATTAGACTTGTAATTGTCCCTATATTTGTAATTCATCTGAGTGCGCGGACTTATACGAAGCTTCCAGTCTCACCCTAAAAACTGTAGTAGGTGAGTGGAACTGGAAACTTACTTGTAGAGGCAATGTTACAATTTTTCTGTATTTTTTACATGCATGTTCCACTATGGTGTCTATCAAAATAGTCGTTGTCGAAGCAGTTTTTAAAAATTTCCCGACGATGTAGCTCAGTCATTAAAGTGAAACCGTGTGAATACAATTTCTAGATGTTGCATCACTGTAATTTTGATGTCTGCCAGATTATTTGTGTTCAAGTGGGCACTAATAAGAAAAATTTGAATCGCAGCTGAATATCTACTTAAAAATCAAAGTTTCCCATCTATGATCGTGCTGTTTTTGTTCAAGCAAATTATGCCAATGTTTGATTATATCATAATCTTGTTAAGGATCAGATCACGATTGTTCTTCAACATTTACATTCAACAGATTCTAGAGCAAAGTGTAGTTGAACAGAGAGTTGTGATTTACGAATTGTTTAGGCAAAATCTACAGTTGTTGGAGTTGTGCAGTATTAGGTGGTCAAAAATATTGCAGTGAAAACGCATATTTCAAAAACATCCTAATCATGAAAAAGTAAACCTCATGTCCTTATGACTGCTTGATAGTAATATTACCGAAAAGTCATTTGTCTATTATAGTGCAAAATTTGCCCGGAAAAATTCTGAGAGGTGACGTGAATGAGCTTCATAAAATGAGCCGAAATCGCAGAAATCTCCTAAACGTACAAGAAAAATCTCTCAAAACCTGATTAGGGTAAAAACACTAGAAACTCAATCCATATACCGACTTCTTTTTTTAGCTATGTCTGTATGAGGGTTTCTTTTCGTCGATGTCTGTATCTACAGAGGTTCAAACGGAGACATGAGCAGAAGCCAAAAACAGGCATGGCTTGGGTGAAGCTTGTTTGCATATTCCGTAGCTGTAAAAAGGGAGGAAAACTCAGGTTCGGTCTCTCACTGATTGTCTTGTACCAAAAACTTTGAAGAAAGAAAATACTTGCCTAAGGCACCAGACTTGTCCTTTAGCTTCTTGCCAATTTCCCAAAATAATGCGACTTACCTAGCCGAATGACAAGATCGTGTTGCGATTCTGAAGAAAATCCGAAGTCCCTTGTTCGAAAGTATTTTCATTGTCTTTAAAGTTTCAAGTGGCTGTCGGCAAGCTCTCTCTCTGCTCTGCTCTAGGGCAATCCGCGACGCAACAAGCGCGCAGCGCTTCTCGATCGTAGGCTGAGTAATCCGCGAACATTTCGTCGGCGCAATCGTTGTTGGCGATGTGATTTTCTGTTTTTTCCCTGATTCTACTTCTTTTTTCGTTCGTTGTGTTTTATCTGCTTCCTGCTAGATTTCTAACAAGGGAATCACTTAGTCTGGAGTACTTGCTGGCTTCATAGCATAGCTCCTATTTCTCTCAGCCCGTCTATTCGAATAAGGAAAAATATTGGTCATGTTTGTTTATTCGAATGTCATTATAGAGTAAAGATTTTTCTGTCCCCCATTATATTTCTTTATATCGAAATCACGGGTTATCATCCTTTTCTAACAGGGCCAGTCAGCTGTTGCGCTATTTTCGTATTGTACACCTTTCGCAGCGCGTTGATCACATATCCAGTTTTTCTGAAGATGGGGTGCTTTATCGATCGTAGCGTTCCACTGATAGTGTGTTTATGCTCAGTATGGTAATGAATTAGTGTGTATTCTGGGAAGGAATAGGCTTTTATGAAAAAATCATTGCTACATGTGGAAGAGTTGCTAATCCTCTTCGGTGAATTTTCAAAAGTATATTGTTGCGTTTCTGATATTTGTGTTCTCATTCATAGGAACTGAATAAGTCAACCCGAGCAAGAAGAACTCGGAGATCTGCAACTGAAATCTAAGGAAATTGAATGAGTTACACACTTTTCACCTCGTTTCTAGCACGTTCACTTTTCTGCTTTAGACAAAATTTGGCTTTTGTACTACCAAAGTTCGTGTACACAAACCAAATACCGATATAAATTTGTACGGCTTCTCTATACTGACCAGTCAATTGTGCCCAGCTGTCTGCAATTCGAGACAAGATGCTAACTTAATTTTTTCCTCCTCTCATTTACTTATTCCCCCTTTGACCTACCGAGATCATTGGTTTCATTCGCTAGTCTACTGTCGTTTTTCTGCATTGTTTCGGCTTAGCGATGGTGGAAATATAGTAAGATCAATTCAGATTATTTATTATCACTTACATGCAGTAAATGAATAAGGTTGCCTCTCTTCGATGTCACCTTCTCTTTCCTTCTTGAATATTTCTGCTTCATCTTTAACGCTCTATCTTTCTCCAAATTTTAGTTCGCAGCTGTGCTATTTCCTCTTTTCGAGTATACTCGTATAGTTTTAGGGGTATCATGGCTGCGGGACAGAACTTGGATGTTTCGAAGAAGTTGAAGGTAAGAGTTATGCTGTTCATTTTCCTCGCAAAATTCACTTTCCTATCTATTTTTAGGCTGCGATCAAAGCGAAGTTGGAGGAATTGGGCGTATATGTAGATGATGAGCTTCCCGAATACATTATGGTCATGATAGCGAACAAGAAAGAGAAAAATCAAATGAAAGATGATCTTAATTTGTTCTTGGGGAAATGCACGAGTAAATTTGTAGACTGGTGAGTCTCCATACAGTTTCTCGACTTTCTATTTTGCTTATTTATCAGACTTTTATAATGTCTCCCTTCATGTAGGTTGTTCGATTTATTCGAAAGACTCCAGTCAGCAGGCAGCAAGCCAGATAGTCACTCCGGCTCGGAGAAATCGAGCAAGGTAAGGGTTATCATGTAATCGGCTTGCAGTAAAAATTGACGCTATCTTACAGGAAGTCCAAAAAGAGCCTGCAAAAGAAAAGGAACGAAAGAAAGAAGCCGAAGTCTCTACATCAAGGAAAGAAGATAGAAAAGGTCTGTTTGACTGCCTGCTTATACTTTTATTTCATTATTGCGACTGTCTTTAGAAAGCCGAAGTCATGAATCATCTTCTCACCGGCAGGCTGAGGTAGAAGTTAGGAAGCGCGATGTTGAAAAGGAGCGGGAACGCGAGAGGGACAGAGAAAGGGAGAAGGAAAGGGAAAGAGAACGAGAAAAAGAACGACAGCGACAGGCTGAAAAGGCGAAAGAGAAAGAACGGGAGGAACGCGCTAAAGAAGCGGAACGCCAACAAAAAGCTCGTGAGCAGGAGAAGTAAGTTATAGATCAGTCTGTTTCCCTTTTGAGAATATATTGATTATTCCAGGCAAAAATCACGGTCTGAGACCTCTCGCAGCCGCGAAACCGTACGCCCTACCCGCAGGCGAGCTGAGAAAGAGCGCAGATCCCGTTCACGTTCACGTTCTAAGACATGGTCCGATGACGAATTTGAGCATGAAGTGGAGGAGCGCTCGAAGAAGGTAGCTGAATTGTTCATTTGAGTTAACCTCACTTTCGTTAGTTTTTTCCTTTCTCTTTTGCAGCTTACAGTTTTTGATCGCATAGGTGCTTGACGCAATATTCTCCTCTGCATTGATAAACAAGCTGAGATACCGACTGCATTTGCTTGTGGTTGTGTTTTCTGACTACCACTTAGGTCATTTTCCAAGGATTCTATGTTGACAAGACTCAGTTTGCCCTGGTTGTTCTGCTACCAAAATCGGGACAATCTGAGCCTGTATTCATCGAAATCTTGACGCCTAGTCGGACGTTGATTGCCCTTATAACCGAGCGCACAACCGGGCAATTTGCACTCGTTTATAATGCCAAACAACGTCCCATCAGATATCAGGAAGAGAGAGCTCACGCAATCTTCCCATTCGACATAGCGATGTGCAGAATGTGGCTAGTAATTCAAAACTTTAGCTTTTACACAAAACGACTTTTGAAATCTTTTTCCTTTTTCCATAATAAACAGTAAATCCGAACAACATAACAGTATGGGTCTTGCGTTGCACGGGAGAAGATTGCTTCACATACATAATTTTCTTTTTGCAGGTCGCGTCTTCTGTTGTCGTACAACGTCCACTTGCTGCTAGTCCGGAACCTGTAAAGGTGTCGTCTCAAGTGCATGTTATGAGGAAGGTCAAGCCTGCTGTGAGGTTAGCTTCTGTTTATCGTCTTGATTCTAGTTCTTCATAGTCTCGTCATTTTCCATATGTATCACTAGAAAGTCTTTGCATCAAGCTGTTGAGGGTTTCACACAGACAGCAACTTATCCACTTGTTCCAGTGAGATAGAGAAGAAAACAATGAAAGCGGGGTCGTCGATGTTCCTCAAAGCTATGAATCAAGCCAGTGTTAGCGCTGGGTATGGCGCATCTCTTGTAGACAAAAAGGTAGGAAAGAGGTTCATTAAAGATTGAGTGCAACTGAAGAGAGAGTTTAGAAAAAGGCGGCTCATAGCACTACTACTCCTCGCTCACCGCTCAAGAATAGAATTACTCGTCCTAATGTTGTGGAGGTGGACAGCGATGGGTAAGCTGATAATTTTCGCATTCTCTGTTTTTCAGTTCAATAGCGTTTGGCATACCAGCAAACGTTTTTGAGTACATTTTCGTTATTTGAATCTATTATTCAACTGGTGTTGGAGTTGTGTTCGATATTTGGTTTACGTGTGAAGAATAATTCAACTCTCTATAATTTTTCAACCTTTTTTGAAGGTTATTTTCGGTGACGTCAAGGTGTATGCGCAGGAGGAACTTAAGGCGTAGTAGCTTGTGGCCGTTTTCGCCAAGATCCAGAACAACTTGGCAAGGAATTCTGGATAGATTTCTGAGAAAATAAATCTGTGTAACGTTGTTTGGGGAAACACTAAAGAGACAACTAATGCAGTTCTGAAATTTGCGTATCAAGGTGCTTCTACTCAGGGAAAAAATGGATGTTGAAACTGCTAAATGTGCATCAATCATTACATACTTCCGCTTTGCTAAAAACACCTTACCTTTAAATGTTTATTTTTTATGATACATGGCATCATGTTGACACTTTCTCTGGATCACTTCTGAGCTATCTGAAACCAGAAAAGTTAACATGCGTTTTTAACAATATTAGCGCCAGTATCTATCCCAACACCGTATATCGTGGTTGGAAGTTGACTGGTTACACTCCATTTTGGAGTGAAGTAGTTTCTTGGTAAACTATCTCGTAGAAAGAGTTCGTTCGACACATATGTAGCTTCTTGGAGAAGCTTGAACAAATCATGGTGAAAGATAAAATGCCGGTTTTTTGTGATACATGGTATTTGGTTGACAGTTTCTCTAGATTAAGTCTGAACTGTATCTGGTATGGCGACACAGATAAAACGTTTTTTGAAATGGATTGGAATGACGGAAGCCGTTTTTGTTTGAAATAACTGCTATGCTTTTTTTTAGTGAGAACGCTTACGATGCTGAAGTCATAGTCGGAGACAAATCTCGTGGTCGGCCAAACAGTCCTAAGATAACAGTCACGCTGAAAGGTGCTAAGGAACATATCGGTTCTCTACGTGATTCTAAGAAAGCAAATCTGAAACGTCGTAAGGAGAAGGATGAAGGAGGTACTTTGGAGTTCAGTACTTTACTATCATGCTAAATGTTGTTTTTAGAGACGAAAAGTACTGGTGTTGTTGTTGTGCCAGAAAAGCGTGGCCGAACCGTAGAAATAGATGAAGATTTGCTGGTAATTTATCAGTTTTTTATACTTGATCTGTGACTTAGACTTTTTTGTCAGGATCGCGAGGAGTCGCCTTCTGTACGTAAATGGGACGGTCAAATTCAGTTAGACGAGGATGACTCTACCGATGATGATGGTTAGTTTTGGATTTTTTGTTTGACGCTTAGCTTTGCTAGTTTGCTTTTATTTTCAGAGGCAAAGATTGATGCTGTCTTAGCCGATGCACGTGGTGTAACATCATCTATGGATGAAGATGGAGAAGTGCCTCCGACGCATCAACTAAGTCGAGGCAATAGTTGGTCAGGCTATGCCGCTTCTCCCTCTCACCAAACGACAACAGCAGCTCCAAGTTATGTGCCAACGCCAGTTACGAAGGTACTTTTTGTGAAATGTGCCTCATTTCTTTTTGTTTTTGGAAACTAGCTTGTGGTTTGGATTTTTGAAAGACTTGTTTTTCGTTTCAGCATCCTTACTACCTTTTATCTCAGGAGGAGCAGGCATTTGCGCCAGTCACCAAAATTCCGGAAAGATGCCGATTTTGGCCTGCCTGTCGACAAGGTGAAAACTGTGCCTATACACACCCCACTAAACAGTGCATGTGAGTCGCATATTTTCAGTGTCTTTATGTTTGCCAATTAGATTGTATTTATAGTAATTTCCCTCATTGCTCGTTTGGCGCTCGCTGCCTGTACATTCATCCGCCTTGTAAATTTGATCGAAACTGCACCAATCCGAATTGTCCATACACTCATGGTAGGATTGCTGCAGCAATGGCTCCTGTTACCGTCCCTACTCCAGCAGTTGTAGCTCCACCGGTATTTTTTGATGCCCATGTGTGGGGAAGTTTAGTATGTGACCCAAATTTTTTAGGTCAAACCCGCTCCTCAACCTGTGGTCACTTCCTCTACGACCGCATTTGCTGCTCCGGATTCAACAAAAATCTCTCCCGAGTTCGTTTTTTCCTTTTCTTTACTTATTTGAAGTTTCTTCGCTAATGTAATGTTTTCCAGTGTTCCTCTATCTGCTGAGCCCAACCCCGTCCCCAGTCTTGCTTCACTCACGCCTTGCCTATACGGCAATAAGTGCAAGCGGCCTAATTGCGCATTCAAACATCCAAAGGTAACAATTTTGATGATTATTGATTGAGTTGTGCGTAACTTTCCTTTTCAGACTTGCCATTACGGCTCGTCTTGTATGAATGCCAATTGCTACTTCTATCACCCACCCCTTCCAAAGCCGTCTTTCGCCGCTGGAGTGGCCAAGTACAAGTGGAAGGCATCAAGTGCGACGGCTTAACGGTCGTATGCACGGTGTGTAGGAGTAGAAATGTCATTAGTACACATCTTCTCTTTTTATGTATTTGCATTGCTAAGAACTTGTTGTGTTAATTTGTTTCTTTCTATTATTTACTTGTTTATCGCAAACGTTATCTGAGAACAGCCAACAACTGATTTGGTTGCACTACCTATGAGCGAGTCTATATGGACGCAGGAATTTGGTTTGACATTCCGGCGGAAACTTTGCCTGACTATCGAATTTGAACTGGTTGAAGCCTCATACTCAAGAGGTCATTTTCGTGAAAGGAGAAAGATTGAACAAAATCAGCTCCATGCTTCCTATTTATGTATGTCCCGTATCACTCAGTCTTGGATGCTTTTCGATAGCCTATAAATGAAGGGTATTGACGTGGGATTTAGAGAGCTTATAACACTTCTGCTTCTCACGTTCTATCCTTTTTCTATACAAACTGCCACTCATCGTCTTTTTCTGTTCAATTCTTTGCCTCTAGCTTTGTTAACAGTCACGAAAGGATTTACTACAGTAATTTATTCGGGAAGGGGAACAACTTTGTTTTTCATGAATTTCTTTCATTTGACTACTGAACCATATTGTGAATGAGGAATGTGTCATCATGCAGCATGTGCCCGATCGACTTGGACATTGATGTCGTAGTTCTGATAGACTACGTGGAAGGTGTTGTTGTGAGATATCATACCATGTTATTTCAACTTTTTTTCATTATCATTTCTTGTTTTTGTATGATTTCGTCATTTCTACCTTATCTCGTATCATTTTCTTAGTGTTCAAGTTTTAGCAGAAAGAGTAAATTTATCTTATATTCCACATCGAAATCAGAGTGCTTCAGATCGTAAGGGATTAGGATCATTGTTATCGCTGATTGCATGTGCACGTAGATCAAAACAATATCCATGAGAAGTTCATTAAGTCAAACAGTGTCCTATATTTGGACTGATGGTGCGGTGCAGAAAATTTTGAAGTTCGTCCAAGTTTGTGAAGTATGTCGAATAAGGTTTTCAAGGTGTTGTGCAGTAGTTGTGAGCGCTTTCGAGTCGGCCTAATCTCAAATTGAATAATAAATACAAGCATGAAAATTTGTGAAATTCGTGCTCGAATAGTAAGAAGGACGAAATAAACTCCGCCCCTTAGAGACGATACCTCCCAGTTGCACAAATGTAAACTAGATAGTACATACAAGAGTGCAATTGTGTATTCTCACTCTTGTGCGATTCCTTCTTTAGAAACAGGACGCCTGAAAATTACCGGAGATTTTCTACCGGTCTGTTGCATAATAATCTACAAAGTATGCGTATCATCTAATCTGAGACTAGAAGATTGGCGGGCCTTTTGCACACATTTTTTAAACACCATCTATCATTCATTCCATGACTAGGAAACGCGAGCTCGCTGCACACTTTGTCTAAACAAGCTTGATCGTGTACTTAGCAGGTTTAGACTTGTCAAATCTCGTCCAGGTTCATTCACCCTTTGCAAACAGGGAAGAACCAACTCAAACATGTTAAGACAATGTCCGCAATGCGGTCACGTCTTCCTTAATCATAGAATAGATGATAATACTTGTTCTTCCCAGTTTCAACCATAAAATAGCTGAAGGAGGTAGATAATAAGTATAAGTTTGTCGACCCCACATCAAACTGTCAAAATAACGTGTGCAAAGCGGTGTCCAGTCATTTAGTCTCCTAATGAATAGTATAAGCTGTCTCAAATAGATTGTCACAGGGCTAGCATCACTGGCTCGCGCGCCTACGTCGAGTAGATTTTCCGCTTAATATAGTGTGCTTGTACAGAAGCTGAAATGGGGTAATTTGCGCGTGAAAAAGTAGCCGCGAGTACTGCCGGCGTTTTGCGCCCGCGATTGGCCGGCGACACAGTCGAAACTATTTGTTTACGCGCTAATTTTACCCATTTCACATTCTGTGCAAGCACACTATATTAAGAGGGAAATCCACTCGACTGTATCTCGCTAAACCCTGCGCCGATCATATTCTCTAACGATACCCCCAGTGTCTATAGCCCTCAGTCGCTGCTGAAGCGTGGGAATATCCTGGGGGTATGTGCTCGAAACCGGCGCAACGCGCGAGCGATGCGGTCGCAAGACAGGAAGCGCGAGAGGTGTGACGCTGTCATTGAGACAGCTTAATCACATAAAGGAGATAGCAAGCGCGAAACGTCGTTCATGGAAAAGGAGAATCGGTGACGCGGAGAGCGTCAAACGTGAGTCGACAGAATGAACCGAAGCTTGTGTACTATCGCCGGTCATTGGCTCAAGTGTTCCTGCTGCGTGACGTTAGTCACTGCTTAGTGTAGGAGGTTTATGTTTTGCTATCAACAAGAACCATGGTGCCATTATTATTTCGCCTGCCGCAGTTATATAGTCACCACTTGACTACAGTTGAGTCATCTGATCATTGATATGTGCAATTACACACTTTGATTGCAGATCTCCCGCACTAGCATTGGCTGTGTTTTCTATTTTTCTGTACATTTTGAGCACCATTTCATCTAAAAAAATCGTCAGCAATCATTTTTACTTACCGTTGTCTGATAGAAGCATCGAGAGGCGTCAAACACATCTTGTTCATCAAGTGGTACTTACTTGTTCTTCCTTTTATGTCAAATACTGAAATATTGTGATGTGAAGCGTTTTGTCAGGTTCAAACTCGGTATACTAGTGAAGCGAGTACATATCATTTTTCTACGACTAGGAGACGCGTGACCGCATTGCGGACATTGTCTTAACATGTTTGAGTTTGTTCTTTCCTGTTTCTAAAGAGTGAATAAACGTGGGCGAGATAAACGACAAGTATAAACCTGCTAAGTACGCGATTAAGCTTGTTTAGACAATGTGTGCAAAGCGGTCTCGCGTCTCCTAGTCCTAGAATGAATGATATGTGTGTAAGTGCACACCGCAAGAATCAAATGAAGTCTTCGATAAAAGTTTATATAGTACACAGAATGGAGTATCAGCTTGGCTGTTCTAAAAATCCGAATTTAAAGTCTTTAGTTTCCTATACATAACGTTCTAATAAATAATCCGGTTTTTCAATCCGAGTCGTCGAGCATAAATAACATGGACCAAACGAACTCGCTTGGACTCGAGAAAATTCGACGCGGTCACTTTTGCGGTCAGCTGACCGGTATTTCTTTTGTTTCACAGTGAAAATTCGAGCCTCAGTTTAGAGCTTTTGTGAATTTGTTTTATATTTGTCGCAACAGATTTCTTTTTCTCTTTGCCAGATCTGCTAGCTCGATTTGTGTTTTCTATGGGGTTCTCCAGATTTTGGCGAAGCTTGAAAAATCTGTTGTGCTCTGTCTTGACGCTTCCTTCTCTCTAGATTGTAAAGTGGGTCTGTTTTTTTTCTGCTTCGTCCATAACTTTCTACTTCTGGCTTATTCCATTCTCTCGATTTTTACCGCCGAAAAAAAACATTGCTTGAGCACGCATTGAATAACGCAATTTTGATGTAAGCATCTATGGGACCCAATCGATTCAACACGTGTTTAGTTTGTTTAGTTCTCCTTATGCAAGCTTAGTCAACTAGAATTCCTTTCTGTGATATGGTGCCTGTTCTTATGTACCGTTGGTTTGGGCTATAAGGTTACTGCGATTTTGCCAATGCTTCTTTTACTTCCTCCAATAAAACTTTATTCCTACTGACACCACTCTAGGCTCATTCACGTAGTTCCTGCTTACATCTATATCTAGAATATTCTAAAAGCTCCTCATGCTTGGGATATGTCATAGGATTGTCACAAGTATTGTCACGATTGTCACATCTAGTCACTACTTTACGTCCTCTGTATTTTTTCTTTTCATTTGCTGGGAAAAGCGTCGTATATTGTTTTCTGAGGATTCCCTTGTAACGCTTGCTAAAAATTGTAAAAAAATTGAGTTATTGTTAAAAGTCCCTGTAGTATCTGGAGGATATCATTAGTCTTCAAGAATTATCTTGCCATTTCCATTCTTCGTCATGCTCTGACACCAAATGGTTAGTCAAACAGTGAGGCAAGCGACCATGTTTTTTTGCTACGAGTTTTTTTAATGATTGTATCCAGCATCTTTTTATAATGTTGAAAACTAGCTTTACACAAGCTCAGACGATTTTTCGGACCCCCCGCTGGATAATATGATCCATTCTTTGACTAGGAGACACGATCACGCTTGGAGTACGTTTAATCAACAAGTTTAAAAGTCCGTCTTAACGCGTCTTGGTATTGTGCATCTCCCAGAATTGTTCCCATATGAGCCATCTACGTGGCTGCCTTTCGATCTTTCTAACACATTATCTCAAGCAAAATTTAGGGCGCTTATTCGAAGTTGACATGTTAAAATGATCGAAAGACAGCCATGTTGATGGTTTCATGGGACATTTCTGGAGGATGCACCATAAATTACTACTAGGGAAGCATGAAAGGCATGTTTGTTGTTCTTTCGAGCTCGTTGAACTCGCATTGTTCAACCTCGATCATGTTCTTTCATGAATTTCTATTTGAAATTCACCAAAACGCGTTGAAGCGCACTCTTAAACTTGTTAATCAGACGTACGCAGAGCGTGCTCATGTCTCTTAGTCAGATACTGAATGATATGGCCTAAGCTGCCTATAGTCGTCTCACAAGCTCGTCTTTTGGTCATTTGTTACTTTCCTCCACCTTATCGTAATATTTGCTAAGCCGTAAATCTCGTAATATTTGCTAAGCCGTAAATCAGTGTCAAGATTATCGTTGTTTCTTTAGTTATGACAGAATCAACAGAAGATTTGAAAGCCGACGGTAATCGCTTCTTTCAACAAGGACGATATCAAGAAGCTATCGATGCATATAGTAAAGCCATCATTCGAAATCCACACGTTTCCACTTATTTCACCAATCGGGCGCTTTGCCATATGAATGTAGGATGAGTGCATTTTTCTGCGTATTTCTGTCTAAGCAGTGATTTATTGTTGCAGTTGAAAGCCTGGGCTAAAGCTGCGGAAGATTGCTCGAAGGCTGCTTTTTTGGACAGAAACAATGTCAAAGTAGGTTTATGCCCTTGTCCTTATGCATTGGGTTGGCACATAAGTTTTGCAACTACAAGTTCTGCAATTATTCCACAAAATTTCTCTTTTTGGATGTGGCATTCTCATTTCATGACATCAGAGTTAAACGGTCGAGCAGATCTGCAGCTCAATCTACATTCCATAAAAAAATGTGAGCGGGGAAAGAAGAAAAGTGTTGGAAATTAGTTGCAAAACTCTGCTCCAATCTAATACTTAGATCCTGCACCATCTTTATGTTATCTCATATTAGGCGTACTATTTCGGCGGACGAGCAGCTATTCAACTGGGAAACTACAACGAAGCCATACGACTAATCACGAAAGCAAAGGAGTTGGCTAGCACACAGAAGGTTAATATCTCATTTTTACCTTCGGTATCTTCTATAGCTTTTGATTTTCTATTTGATTAGATGAATTTTGGAGATGAAATTCATGCGCAAATGCGGCTAGCACGACGAGAAAAGTTTCGAATGAAGAGGAAAAGCGGGTCAAAGAGGAAGGCGAGCTGCAGGCTTACTTGCGAAGGTAATCTTCCCACTTACTCGTGTTTCTTATACCCCCTTTTGTTTCAAATTTCTCACCGTATCGGAGCCTTTTGAGTGTCAACCAACTCTTATCTTGGTTAGCGCTTTCATCAAAGCTCGTCTTACTTTCTTTTGACGCTTGAAAGTCTGTAGAATTGTCAGATGTTATTGGCTCTCGAAGTGTTTGCAGTGATTATATGGTTTCGTTCCATTCTTTTTGGTTGTTCAGTTTCTTAAATGAACCATTTCGGTTCGTGTTCTTGCGTTTGAAAACATCTTCTCCCGATCGATATTTTCCTCTCGTTTTCTTTTCTTCATTCGTATCGATACCCCTTATTTTGGGCAAAGTGTCATCTCTTAGGCTGATTGAAGAGGATGTTGCCAGAAGGATAGCTGAAGTGCTCTCTCCCGAGTCCTCAGAAGAAGGAGGTGAAGTCAGTGAGGAGAAAACTGAGAAAGTGGAGCAAATTACTTCAGAAGGCGAGCAGCACAAAACTCAGTTGGATTCCCTTTTTGCGCAGGTTAGCTTCTCTAACTTTGTTGATTAATAGGATATTCATTGCTCACGTTTTTTTGTTGTCTGGTTGTTTTCATTTTTGAGCTTTGATTTTAAGATTGACGAACGTCGGCGAAAGCGCGAAATCCCTGATTTTCTTTGTGGGAAGATCTCATGTGCGTTGTTGCAAGATCCAGTTATTACGCCATCGGGTATCACTTATGATCGAGCTGACATAAAACAACATTTGCATCGAGTTGGTGAGTCTCAACACTCAAATTGCTATAGCACAGCTTTTTTTTCTTCCAGTAGGCTTTGTATGTTTTGTTTTCAAGATCGAATAAGAACCTTAATTCTAGGCCATTTTGATCCTGTCACGCGTGCTCCTCTAACAGAAGCTGATCTCATCCCAAATCTTGCCATGAAAGAAGTTTTAGAGCATTTTCTCATCGAAAATCCGTGGGCCAAATACGAGGATTTGTTGAGCTAGATTACGTTTGCTGGTTCTGCTTTTTTTACTAATGCAGAGAAATAGGGTTACTGATAGCCTTGTTACTGAAAAAGAATCAAGCTCGACTGCAAACAGTCTGGAGTTTTACTAGTGATGTTGTGATTTAATGTCTTCCTTATACTTGTACAAATGTAACTATATCTCTACTAACTTTCATAAATGATATTCGATATTGATATAATTCAAATGCATGCATTGTTTCATTAATGAAGTTTTGACGAGTGCAATGTGATGGTTGCTAGATTGGTGTTCACTGCGATTTATTGATATGAGAATCGTCAGTTCAGGGCGATGTGTATTTGCAGATTTGTGCTGTATAAAAGTTCTACCTTGCTGTACGCTCTCCGTTAGAAAGCTGTTCACCTCAGTGGTATCTGATTTATGCAATCAGAGCTTTTGGTGGTGTGAATCTGTTTTTATTCGAAATCTCAGAGTGAATGAGTTTGAACCCCTTTCCTACGGTGTGCTTAAAAAGCGTTGTGCAGTAAACAGAGCTTGTCCATTCTTTTGCTGCGGCATTAGCGAATACTGTATAGATTTGGCAAGAAATCGTAAAAATCATAAGGCTCTTTGTCTTGACACTTTATATGTTATTTTTGCGAAACAACAAGCACGCGAAGTGCTACTCTCGATCAGTCTGCGGGCGGCGTTATGTTATGATGCGAATGTGAGGCTGTAGCAACAGGCGACGAACCATAGTGCGTAAAGTTATACAGTCTGTGCCAACCCCAAAATGGTCCGGCAGGGGTGTGCGTCGCTAGCGTTCACGCCTTTGGAATACTTGTCTGCTCCGTCTTCAGTCTCTTCACTCTCTCCAACTGTGCGCACATACAGCGCACACCTCTTGCGCTGCGTGCCCGCAAATTCACACCTCTGTTCAGCCTGGGGCACACGCCATACTTGATCCGCTTGATCCGTTTCCATTGGTCAATTCAGTGAACTAACCAATAGTGAAGTGGATCAAGCAGATCAAGCGGATCAAGTATGGCGCGTGTCTGACCGATTGGGACAAACTGTATTATGCAATATAGATTTGCACCAACCCTCGGCCAGAAGAAAGGTAAATATTTTGAATAATATTTCGCTTATCTCAGTCTCGTCGGCGATCTTAGCTTACGAGGTTGAGAACAAGTGATCAGTTGAGCTGAGTACTCGCAGCTTGTGTGATTCGAGGAAGCGAAACAGAAAAAATGAAGATGGAAAGTTGGATGTGAGCTGTGAAGGCAGCGCTCCACTACTGGAAGTCAGGCGTTGCAAGTGTATTCGTTCTAGAGAAATTGCGAATATTAGTTTTCGCGTGAACTTATGGATTTAGTTCACGCTTTCCACGTAGCATTGAAAGATTGCGGTCATAATTTCTCGTGGTCTGCTACGAACTGTAATTTCTTTGTCACTGTACAGAATTCTCGGTCATTCATTTCTGAGCAGCGTACTATCGCATAGGAACGGGGAGTGCGCTATTTTCCGAGCACGCTTTCCTCTGAAAAGGGAAAGATACCACTTAATTAAGTTGGCGGTTGAAGACGAGATGTACATCGCTAGACGCGTCTTTGAACGCTTATTTCAAATGTGCTTTGCTTTTTTGCAAAACTGCTCCTCGATAGAAGTTATGGACGTTTGAATGTTCAAGTTCAAGTTTTGAGTGGCATAAATTTGGCGAAGCTTTACAAAAGCAGTTATGCTGATTTCCACTGGCTGTATTCCTTCCTTGTTGTCACTATCTTTGATACCAGTTCGATTACACGCTTTCCGCTTTTTTTTACACCTTTTCGCTAATTTTATGCCTCTTAAGATTCAAAAGGACTTTCGAACGCTCTTATTTGTTTTTGGAGGGATGTTCCACAAAAAAGGAGAACAGATTTGGAATGAGCGTTCGGCCTCGGACAGAGTTCACGCGATTTGATCGATCGATTTCATCGCGATTCAGTCGCTACAGACAAGTGTTACGAGTTCATTGCATGCCAATCTTCTTGCATAGAGTTGTAATAGTTAGTCACGATTAGTCTTCCAAACGACTAATCGTGACTAACTATTACAACTGAAACACAAGAAGATCGGCATGCAATGATCTCGTAACACTTGTCTGTAGGATTGAATCGCGACGATCAAATCGCGTGAACTCTGTTCGAGGCCTTCCGAGACGCGTTTATGATATACCTCGTCTTCAATCTCCAACTTAGGTTAGATCTTCCCTTATAAGCTTGAATCGTGGTTTTTCGACTCTTTGCGCTTATAAAGGCTAATTTCTGACTTCTGCCATACTACATTAGCCAGTCGCTTTCAAGAAGTCATTTCCCTCATAAATACTACCACAGGTTTGTAGACCTCCTTCAACACTTCAACGTTTTCCCGCTCTAAGTGAGTACCTGTCTGTCTCTGCCCATTCTGTGACTTTTTCGTATCGTCTCATCGCGTTTCTCGTTCTCTCACTGTTAAATTCTGTTCTTCGTACAGTCTTCTTCGCCGTTCATTGTGTAATCCATCAGTGCGCACTTGTCGCGTTGAAAACCGTCGACTCCCGCTATGGTGTCATTAACATTCGGTCAACGCACCTATATACAGATACAACTAGCAAGATTTGCCTGTTTTCGCAGCTAGAAGGCTCGAGGTAAAGCTTAAATAGCAGTTTTTTTTGGTTTCCGAATTTTTATGGCTGTAAATTTACATGTTTTTTTTGTCTCTGTCTTTTTGCACTAAATTCTTATTGGGTATCATTTTTTTTTATTTTCTAATTTCTATGCTTTTTTGTTTGTTATCAGTTGAAACTCATCAATCAGTCTCTCCTTGAAAGTTCATGATTCATTTTTGAAAATTCTTTTCATCTCAGTTGGGCGATCTCTTTTCCAAAATTTTATTAAACACGTCCTAATGTGATGCCGACCTTATTTTCTATGGTTCGTCATCTATGTTTTGGAAATTTCTTGACAGCTATGTTTGATTTTTAGTGGTTTGGTGCTCTTTGTTCGTCAAACATGCTGATATATTACGTGTGTTGTATTGTGTTTGGAAAATATCTAATTTTTTTGCTTTGTTCTACCTTCCAAGGCTTCCTGTTTTCCCTCGAAATTTTTCTCAAAGATTTGGTCCCTTGTGTACTTATTTATTGTGCCAGATATCTGCGCCAATATTTGCAGGCAGTTTTTTTTCAGTATTCTTTGTGCCTTTTCCGTCATCTGACTGAATATCGACTCTTCCATCCCTGATTTTTATGCTTTGGAAAGCGATGAGTTTTCGCATCTGGCAGTCTAATACATCACCATAAACATTCTGCACACCATAGTGTTCGCTGGACTCTTCTGCTGGTCATTGCGAAGAAAAGATTGCAATGAATAGTGCGTTCTCTGCAAATAAATCTCATGATTTGATTTATCAAGCTTCGAAGAGCGTCGCATCGCACACACCCGGTTCGTGCCTAGTGTGTAGGAGACGATTGATTGATCAAATGTGGAAGAGCAGTTGAGAGGTAATGGTGATGTGCGGGTTCTTTCATCTTTCAAAAAAAATTTTTGTATGTGTTCTTTTTTCACTGAATGTTTGAAGGAAAAATTTTCATACGTTTTGTTATCTTGTCTTTTGTCATTTTTGTCGGTTTCATTTTTGCTAGATTGGAGCATTTTTGTACAATGCTCTTCTCTCTTCCTCGTACTGCTATAACTCTGCTCCACCCATCTCCAGATGGTCTTTGGTTGTCACGCTAGACATCAAATTGCTCTCTTTCATGAACATTCTACCACCACACCTCAATCTTGGCCAACCTCCTAAACTTCTTTGATGTCAAGTTCGTACAGTCAGTATGTTTCGCACTTTGCGATTCGTATGTTCCACCAGAAACCAGTTAACTACGTGATGTGATTGGTTGTGTGTGTGTGCTGTCGATGAGAAGAAGAAAGTTCTACCTCTTTTCCATCAATGTTCAACGTCACGATTAGTGTTATTGCAAGGTTTTTGCAATACCACCCGTTGCTGCTTCTGCGATGTTCATAGCCTTTTCTATGTGGGTTCAAAGATTCTGACAGCATTTCTGTGGTTTTATCTTTGAATGGCATAAAGTTGCTCTTGATTTTTCTTGATCTACGTCTTGGTCCAAGTCCATGCTGCCGTCACTGCATTGTATTGTTGAACTCTGTCAATGCTCCCATTTTTGAGAATTGGAAAAAGAAAAAAAAGTGCATTATTCCGAATATGTCTTACAAGCTTCACCCCTCTTTCTTCATGACATTTCGTTACATTGCTCAAAATCCTATCGTTCAAATTCATTTATATTTTTTGCTTTTTGGTCGTTGGTCCTTTACCATACAGTTCGTTGTAAGAAAAGGGTGTTAAAATTTGCTCTTTTGGTGTTTTTTCCTTTTTGGAGTAGGTTTGGTATTATTTTTCAGTGCTAGTTATTCTCGTTGCATGTGGTGTACTGACATTCGCTTTCGTAACTGATTCCATGAACCCTTCCTTTGCAGCACTCCTTTTTTCTCGCTCATTCTAATCTGACTATTTGGCATCTGTTTCTTCTTCCTGATGGATGATCTTTACACGTAATAAGTTCACAGTTTATAGGTTACAGCCCTGTCTTCGTCTCACTTTTGTTGCACGTCCTAATTAAATCATTTTTTTACTTTTTTTAATCTATAGCCTCCCTCATTGACGGGCTCTCTCTTTTCAAACCTACTTCATTTTGATAGTCATGGCCAATTCATTGTCACCAAACATTGCAGCTTTGGTTTACTGCTCTATTAGAGAATTTTCCTTTTCCGTTTTCGTGTTCGCAAAGCCTTATCGTTGTAAAAAATGTCCTTTTTAATGAAAGTGTTATTTGTAAGCCTGTATCATAATCTTATTAAGATTGTACAAAGCCTTACCACCGAAGTTTGCGCAAAAATCCTCAAGCTTACTGGTCTTGATAAGAGTCCTAGTGTGATGTTTATAATACTTGCTGAGTGCACTTCAGTCTTGTTTAGAGTAGTATAAGCGCACTTATGGGCAGATATAAGCAAACTTTTGCTTCTTATGCGGCGGCCTTCTTGCTGTTCTAGTTGAACTCGTCCAGCTTTCGAACGTCATTGTAAAAATGGTCGAGCATTACTTGACCATGTGCTCTCACTCTCTCTCTTCGTCCCGAAAATCGAATCGCTTGCAAAGCGAACGCAGCTGTCACCGTTGTGATTTGCGTCTAATCGCTATAAAGTAATTCAAGTACATTAGTTTTGGTTTATTTTTGATTTCATAAGACTAATGTGTCTGATTTGTTGAACTTTGTCTTTGCGGATTAGCATTTTTTGTTCTGATTTTGCTGATAACGAAATGGTGACGAAGTGTGATGGTCATATTGTGATTCCTCACCCGACTGACGCAAATTGCATTCCAAGCCGTAGTAATGGCTAATTCTTTGCATTTCTTTGCCTACCAGACTGTGTTCGTTTCTCTAATTGCGCTATCATTGCTGCTATCATTGCCTATAAATAATTTAGTCAGGCAGGTGCTGACTGGTCTTACAAATAGCTTGCTATTTTTTAGTATCCCTTGGTTTGTGTCTGGTATGCTTTGTTTAACTACATTGCGGTCAATTATTTAAATTTTTCTGTCACTACTGATCCTTCTCTGTTGTCTTACAGCTAAGCATACTGACAGTCAATCAGTCATTGTGCTTGTTCTTAAACCCGCTCTGTTTCGTCTTCATCACTGCAGCTGTTCAAGTGCAACTTCCTTGATCTTCTGGAGATCTGGCTACTTTGAGCTTTTATTCTTGTCGATATTAGTGCTATTTTTTCGCTGTAGTAGAAAAATCCAAGTTACCTTTACAAGTCTCACAAGTGCTTCTCGTCGTCTTGATCGTCGTGTAAGTGGATCGAAGGTGTTTGAAAAAATTGTATGTCAGTGATCTTCCCGCATACTTGTATTGTATTCAGAGTAATTCTTCGCCAAATCATTGAAGCTCCGAACAGATACTTCATCGGCTGTAACATCTGAAAGAGTTGAGAAATAATGCTTTATCGTGAAACCTTTGAACCTTTTTTTCCTTACAAGACCAGAGTCAATAATTCGCTTTTCCACGAGCATGAGTGAGGTTTTCTCAGGAAAAAGAAGCAGAGCAGATTTACAGAGCAGATTTTTGGTAATATTTCGTGAGTCTGTGATGGAGGCAGTTTCCGGAAAAGTGCTGGAAAGCATAACTTTCAAATGAAACCCGCTCACTCAGACGCTTCACTACAGGAAAGAGCAGAATTTTGTCAAATGAGCGCTCTTAAAGACAGCGTCCAGGCAGATCTGGACCTATGGGGCTTTTACGTGGAAAGTACTTTTGGGGCCCTAACTAAGGCACTGCCCAAGCGGCAGCTCAGGTAGTGCTCTAATGGCTGAGATATAGCCCTCGAAACTGGCCCCCCGAACGTATTCGCATGGATTCATGGCAGTTTCGCGCCAGGATCCACGCTTTGCGCCATGAATCCATGCGAAACCGGTCGCAGGGTCCAGCTTTGAGGGGAATATCTCAGCCGTTAGGGCACTACCTGAGCTGCCGGTTGGGCAGTGGCTTAGTTAGGGCCCCAAAAGTACTTTCCACGTAAAAGCCCCATAGGTCCAGATCTGCCTGGACGCTGCCTTTAAATCAGATTTTTTAAATTTGATTTTGTGAATCATCTGCGACACGAAGGTACTCCTCGTATTTTCCTCTCATAAAAGATTGTTTCGCCACCAAGACAACAAGATCTTGTTACTCTTACACTTTCCTTCACAAGGGAAAAGTCTTCCTCTATTAGAAACCACACCAGTTTTGATCAAATTTTGCAAATTATTTTCGTAACAGTCACTACCCGCAATAGTCCCTTTTTGTAGAGCTTTGGCTCCACCAGCGAGACCCATTTTCTTGAATGCCTTCTTTTCTACACAGAAAAGCAAGATTTGCCCGAATGAATACTTATCTCCACCAGCGAAACTCAGTTACTCAACTGGATTTTGCCAGGTAGAGAGGCTCATTTCCACCAACGAAACCCAGTAACTCAAGCGCTGTACTTCCCCAAGTAAACGCGCTTCTCCACCAACGAGACCCAGTAACTCAAGCGCTTGGTTTTCCCCAAGTAAACGTCAGTTACTCGAGGGTTTTCCCAAATAGAAGCTCATCTCCATCAGCGAGACCTAGTTACTCAAGCGCTGGGTTTCCCAAGTAAATGCTCTTCTCTAACCAGCAAGACCCAGTTAATTGTCAAGAAGAAGCTCATCTCCTCAAGTCGAGACCCAGTTACTCAAGTACTGACTTTTCTCAATTAGTTCTTTACCAGCAAATAAAAAATTAAAAAATGGCAATTTTCTTGAGCTCTGGTGTTTGAATCAATAGCTTGGCTTCGATTATCTCTTCTTGCAGAGCAAGATTCTACATCGAAAAATACCAGATTTTGGACTAATCTCATTATTTTTCGTTATGATCTACTCAGGACATCTCGTGCTTGCTTTTGTTGAGCTCTAATCCTGAGTTTTGTTGTTATTTTACTTGTTCTTACTTTTTCTTTTCTCCCTTCATTCGTGTTCACAGTATCGATCAGCTGTTGTTGCAAAGTATCTCGTTTATTTGTACCAAACATCCTAAAAAATAAAAAAGAGTTTATTACTTATTGTCATTAGTCTGTCTATCATAGCCATCATACTCTAGCAGATCATCACATTTTAGTTTGGTTTTCCTCTTGATCCACTGTTTTCTCGTCGTCATCCTCTCAATACCGATCTCATCGTCTGTGCTCTGTTCCCGAATATTCACGTTGAAACGAATTTTCTGTATACATATGTGACAATCCCCGTAGCTTCTTACGGACAAATTTTGCAAAGTGCCGTTGACTCATTGCCGTCCATATATTTGCACAACCGTGCTCTTATCGGGAAGTCTATGGTATTTTTTGATCTATGGCCACACCTATCGCTTTACTCATGTTTGTCCATGGTGAGTCTTTGGATTAGAGCTAGGGAATGTTATCGCCATTTCTTCAGGACTTTTCATTTCTTCCGTGTGTGTGGCCTTTTCTTGCAGAATTTTGAGTAAATTGCCATTCCTTTCTGCTTCCTCTATGTAATTCTGCTTCTGTCGCAGTGTAAAATAACTCTAACGGCCATATAAAAATGGCTAAGACCTCTGCTTTTTGGGAAATCCTTCACTCATTGTGAGACGATAATGTTGTCATTTTTTCCTTACTGATCTATTCGGACCTTTTGCAGTGTTTGAGTCTTTTCGTTTTTGATATCACTCAGTATTTACACTCTGAATGCTCATTTTAAGCGTTTTTTCTACCGTATGGTCCTTTCCATCCTATCAGCACCGTTTATATCCTCACATTTAATCGATAAAATCCACTGTCTTTCGTTTTATCATATCTTTTTCGTTGTGCGGCTTCTTCTTTCTTGTCTAGCCTCATAAAAAATGGCATTGGCTTTTTTTGTCTTGACGAGATGTTGCATTAAGTAAACAAATAAGCTTGCTTTTACTGATAGCGGTTACCTTCTACAATGTTCATGATATTTTGCTATTTTGAGCAGCTTTATCACAGTCTCTTCTGCAAATGCAAAGCATTTCCTTTTGTACATTGTGCCTTTGATTTTTTGACACTTTTGTAAATTGAAATATCTTTTGTTATCTACCATTGCTGTGTCCGTTCCTTTTCAGCTCGTGATCGATTTCGCCGTTTTGCTAAACGTAGTACCGGCCACTGAATGTTTTCAGATTTATGTGATACGAGTCTATCCGGTGCCTTGCCCCTTTGCCTCCCAGTGCCTTCTACTACAATCATACGCGTTCATATGTATTGCTGATTTTTGTACACATATTATTTGTTGCCTATGATTCCGATGAGTCCACATTCCAATTGCGATGCTTCTTCAATAGCCGGCAGTCGGTTCTCAGCGAGCCAAAATGCATGGGCAAGCATTTTCGTGGAGAGAATTTATCAGGTGAGCAGCGCTTAGATTTTTTTTATTTGATTTTCCAGTTTTTAGTTGACATATGATGGTTTTTATAATTTTTTCTCTATGAGTTTCCTGCTCTTATTTTTTGGCTCCCTGACCGTGACGTTGGAAACGATTGCCTTTTTATGCGCGCTTCTCTTACGTTTACTATAGAAATCGCTGTAGCGCATCACAGGATGATTGATGTTACACTCAACCGATGTTTAGCGCAAATTGACAGCTCGTAATTATGTGATTGTGTAACAAGACACCGAGATGACCATCACCGCTTTTCATAGATCATATAGGAGAGGATATTAAGGGAGACGTTGGTTACTTTGAAACAGTTCTGGTAACGGAGTGAACAGGTTTTATAGTAAAAACCAAAAAAATGCTTGTTGGGAAGAATTAGAAAAATTTCGAAAACAAAATCTTTTTTGAACAAGTAGGACGTCGAGTAAATGTGTTGTGCAATTTATGCCAGTTTCTTACATTTTCATAATTTGTTCAATTCCGACGATAAGTTTTCTTATTTTAGTTGTGTGGCACAGTACACCCTGGTATGGCCATCGACCACGATGCTGTGCTCCATATCAAAGACCTTATCAACCAAATTGTCAATGAAGTGAGGTTTTTGACCAAATCGTGATTTTGAGCATTTTATGAGCTCATTCTTCAGATTCTCGACCAGAAATCGGTTACGGTAGTTGAGATGGACAAAGCTGCTAGGAAACTATTTCCTGTTTCATGTCATTGGATTACAAAGGCGAGTGGTGATTTCATTTGAATTTTCTTCAAATCACCGTAGTTGCTGCAGGATGCTTGGGATGCCATGTATAATCACACGATTAGCAGCAGAAAATTCCATGCTGGAAAATTTGGAGCATCTCGTTTGCCTCACGAGTTACACCACAAAATGGCTGGCATAATAAAAGTAAGCCAAGATCCTAGTTTTGAAGTTTTGTTGATCTTTCATCTTCTGCGATATCTTGCTGGCTTTATGGTCATTTTGCTACACTGTTCTAGGATAATCTTGGAAGAGAAAAGGATAAGAAAGATCGAGAAAAAGACAAGGAAATCGACAAGATGTCGCACTATCTTATTGCTATCTGTGAAGGAATCTCCGAGGTACGGTAATGTTGGAATCACTGCGAATGAATTGGTGCTTATTCTTAGGATATCATGAAATGGACAGGAAATTATGTGAAAAATATCAAAAACTCGGATTTGAAGATAAACTTGGCGAATCTGAAGATTGCATTAAGCGCGGATAAAGTGAGTGGTTATTTCTGTGGAAAATTTGATTTTCTTCTATCAAGATTCTCAAATCTTGTTTTCTAGGCGCTCATGCAGTTGTCAAATTCGCTAAGAAATGATGACGATGATCAGTCGCCCGGAGGATTCTTGTCAAATTTTTATGAGTTTGATTTGGATGAATCTGACGAAGAAGTAGAGCAGAATACTACTTATGAGTCGGTGAGAAGACTTTTTATGGCTTAGTCTGCATTATTCATTTTCTGTGCATAAGTTTTCGTTTTGAGTAAAAGAACGTATCGGACAGTTCGGGATAGTTTCGTGCGATTAGCTCTTTATTTGAAATTCTAACAGTACATTTGCTTTATCAGTTTTTTTTTCATATGCAATTTCTGCAGAAATGTGGTGTGGTTGACGTAAAAATGATGGCGAATCATGGATTTATTTTAGATTGCTAGTGATTTCCTCAAAGAAGAAAGATTGTATCTTCGGGAATTGAATCAGGTCAATGTATTCAGACGCAGACTGGAAGCTGTCCTGCAGGATGAAGATAAGGTGTGCCTTGTATCTCCACATATCAGGCGATTATAGTTTTGTTGAATTATTGCTTTGTGCTCTAGAATAGAATCGTTCATAAGATTTACAGGAAAGCGTATTCTGGTTTTTCTTTGCTATGTTTGTTGTTAGAACTGTAGATCTGTAACAGAAAGTTTGGTCTTTTATTTTCATTTTTTTATCTAGATAAGTCTGACTGAGACCGTTCTTTTTTCCATAGAGCATCATGAGTATTTCGTACTCTTATTTCTTTTGCTATATAATTCGCTCCTGTGGTATAGCCATCTTTCAATTCGTCCTTCACCAGATCTACCTTCGGCTTCTATTTGGCAATCTTTCCGAAATCCACGAGCTGACTATGAAAATGGAAAGGACTCTTGAAGATTCTATAGAAATGAGCGATTCGCCGTGTGTTGGCATGGGACTATGGGAGCTAGCTGAAGCGTACGAATTCGATGGGTTAGTGTCACTTCATTTTTATCTTGGAGCTTCAGTTCATGACGTAAGGTTTTTTCTAGATATGTAGCTTACATGAACAGAGGACGCGATGATGAACCAGAGGAGTTGCTGACACCGGTGATTACTAAGATAATCAACGAATTATTGGAAAACAAGAGATATGCATCGTTATTCGAGGTAGTTAGCTGGCACGCGTCAAGATCTGTTTTTTGTATCTGCAGGGAGATGACCGTTCCTATACCGTATCCCTGGACGGACCAACTTTTCGGCTAGCGCTCAAATATGTCTTGCCTACACTACTTCATGCACCATTGATACATTTCTTTCGATATTTAGAGTATGTAAATGTGAGTTAGTATTTTTCTCACTATGTTCCTGTTTGGGCACTTTATAACCCTTATTTTTTTCCAGAAGCTCTTGAGGTACACGCAGAATGAGGACGACAGGGCAGAATTGCAGGTTTTTATCTTTGCGCTAGTTGGCTAATACGTAGACTGTTATCAAACATATTTCAATAAAGTATCGATTTTAGAACTCAAAATTGTATTTAACAACAGTGGGCAATCAACTGGAGCAGATGTTCGATCATACGGATTTGAAAATGATCAAAAACCGTTCGTAAGTAGCTTCGAAAGGTCATCTTTTATTAGTGATCAATCTTTTCGCTTGAACTATGGATTTCTTGTTGATGGATAGTTTGTTTTATTTGAAAATCGTGTTCAGGGAGCTTTTCAACCGCTATGACTCCCGAATTTCGCAACTCAGTCGGATCCAAGAGATTCAAAGAAGTATAGATGGTTTCGAGGGTAATCCTATCGGGAAAACGTGCTCGGAACTCATAAAACGTGAGCAATATTATTGAATCTCTGATTTTCTCTCCATTTTCTTCCATACGTTTATCATTTAATCGCATTTTTCAATTTGTTTCGTACAGAAGGAGATCTGCAAATGGTACGACCGTCATTGACCTTCTCACCCGAGATTATGAGGAAAGGGCGATGGAAAACCGAGAGGTAAGCGTCCTTTTTCCCCCGGTTCCAGTCAAAACCAGTTTCATTCCAGACATCTTTTTCTTTTCGACCACTTGTTGGTGCTCTGCAAGAAGCATAAACAGTACAAGTTCAAAGAGCGCATTACGGTAAATCTTATGGATATCGTCGATATGGAGGATAGCGAAGGTGCACATTACTGATTTGTAATAAAATGTCCATAAGTTTCTCGCTTTTGATTTCAGTGCTCAGGCATTCATTCCGATTGGAATCTCGGGAAAAACCGGATTTGACTCGGTCATTTGTTATGATCTGTAAATCAGCAGAGGAAAAAATGGATTGGATGTCTGCTTTGGTGACTGTGAATACGAGAAGGTATGTTCTCAACATTCTTATTCTTTATTTTCTTCACTTTTGTGTTAGTGGTTATGTTGAGCGTCTTTCAGTATACATTAACAAACTACCTTTGAGTTGAAATTTCTATTTTTTTCATAAATTCTGTTCTGGGATTATGCTGGGGAAGAATATGTAAAGCGAATTACACTAGGGACAAGGATCTTTTTCGTAAAGATGACTGTCACCACATCCTTCGATAACTCTTGTTTTTTGACGTCCTGCTTGAGGCTTTTTCTCAGGGGACGGAAAGACTTCTTTTCATCCCTGGGAAAAGGTTATTCATGCATTGAACTGGCATACTTTAGTTTACTCGACCGTGTCCTTGACGGCTACGAGAAAGAGGAGGCCAAACGTATTCCTTTGGTAACACCAGGACCTGATCAGTACAGGTAGTTTTTATTTTACTAGTCATATAGAAGAAAATTGTGAAGTTAAACAGGCTGTGAGATTCGTAGCTTTGATGATATTAATTTAGATTCGCTGAACCTGATTCAGAAGAGAACATCTCGTTTGAGGACTACACATCGAGTAGTGGAATTCCTGTTGTGAAGAATGGGACTGTGTTAAAACTTGTTGAACGATTGACCTACCATCAGTGAGAATTTTTGGATGTTAGTCCAGTGAAATTAGCTCATTCTTTCAGATACACCGATAACAAATATGTGCAAACATTTTTGATTTCGTATCGGTCATTTTGCACTCCGAGCGAACTTCTTGATATGCTCATCGAGAGATTCAATGTCCCAATTCCCAACAAACTTCTGCAAAATCAGGAAATGAGGTAATTGTCTCTCAATCCATACTTTACGTCACGTTGATTAGCTAACTTTTCAATCTCCCATTGCCAGAGGTGGGCCGCTGGCTGGTCGTTACGATACTGTACAATCACATGGTCTATCTGGTCCAATGATGTTTTCGCCGTATAGTGAGCAAAGCTATCAGCGATTCCGCAAGGAGTATGAACGACCAATACAGAGAAGGTATCTCATGTTGCCTATCTCATATCTCACTTATATTGCTTATCCTTTAACTCAGTATTGGTTTTATTTATTTTCACTTTTTTCTTGTCCAGTAGACTTCTTGTTATTTGTGGATTTTTGGTAATATAATAGGAGTAATCATTCTCAGGGTTCTGAGTGTCTTGCACCAATGGGTCAAAAATCATTGGTACGACTTCGAGAACGATCCCACGCTACTGGAATGCCTAGAACGTTTTCTGCAAACATCGTGTGACCAGAAACTGACAAATCAGCATAAGAAGTTTTGCAAGAATATCATCGTAAGTATTCGTCGCGTTTTTTGCTATTCTATGCGTCCATCTGTCTCGCCTTTCCAGACTCTCATAGAGAAGAAACAGAAACAGCAGGACTCTGAAGGCCATGTGAATACAGCCTTCGACTTCGAGGAAGCAAATGCGTTTCAGCCAAAGAAGCCGGAGGTTTGTTGGGGCATCGTTCTGTATGGTGTACTGATGCTACCAAATGATCTAAAGTCTCCGTCGCTTGACATTCCCCTGTATAGTGTGCGTCAAATAATATTTTACTTCACTACAGAGGTTTTTAGATTGTCTGGCATGCTGCCAAGCAAGGCGATGTAGCCAACTATGACCTTCTCACATTACACCCTCTTGAAATTGGCAGACAGGTAAGCTGTACCTTTGAGAACTTCAAAGTGAGCTTCTTGCTAATCCGCTTTAAGCTTACACTACTTCACTTCGATTTATACCGCGCTATCAAACCCATCGAATTAGTGGGAGCGGCTTGGACTAAGCACGACAAATATAGGAGAAGTCCACAATTATTGAAGCTTACTGATCATTCCACACTGGTAGGGACTTCAAAGTGTAGCAAGTATGAAATGATGCTGTTAAAATTATTTTAAGCTCACCTATTGGGTATCCAGATCTATAGTCGAGACAGAATCACTTGAAGAGCGGGTGGCGATGTTTGCACGCGTCCTAGAGGTGAGTTTCTTGGTATTTCAGAACAAGGCAAAATGGTATGGCGTGTTACACCCTTAAGACTTTAGAAGACCTCACTCGATGTGTAAGAAGTCGCATTTTTGCCAGATAGGCAGGAAAAGATTTTCTGAAAAGCTTTTTTATTAGGTTGTCCCATAAGTCTTTTCATATTCGGACCTTCAATTTGATATTTCTCAAGAACTAGAGCACCTAGAAGGCTGCAAATTTGTGGCAGTAATCCTGAGTTAATACGCTATATAAACACCTATTTGCGGGGAACACAGAACTAATACAGACAAAGTTTGAAAATTGAGCGCATTATTTTTTTCTCGGTTTCTAGCCGTCAGAAAAATGCAGCAAGAGCATGTATACATATCCGATGAGGAGAGTATTTGCATGAGAAAGCAGGAAGTTTGCAGAGTTGTTTTGAACTGAGATATGATGATTTTCGTTTTTTCGAAAAATTGGAAATTTTTCTATTTTGGCTCGGAACTTGTTGCAGATTGAACTTATTGCAAACTTTTGAGAGCCATCTTGTAGAGCTTGCTTTGATCTTTCGAGCGGTTTCCTGCATTTTATTAGGAGTTTAAGAAGAACTGATTTATGTCGCTGAAAAGTCAGGTATGAAAATACTTATGGGACAACCTAATATTTATATATTCGGTTGCTGAAACCTGTATTTGACCTTTCCTGGTGGCAAAAATACGTCGGGTCCCGTCAATGTTCACGTTCATACGCTTCGTTTAACAACTTTCAGGAATCTTCGATTTTTTTCAAGCTTCATCACATATTTCAGGTGATGTCTGTCTTCGAAGAGCTCCACAATTTCACGGGCCTTGTAGCATTCCAGTCAGCACTCAATTCCGCATGTGTCCATCGACTATCCTGGTGCTGGGAGGTATGTCTGTCTTAAAGCAAGTTTTATGCATTTGTAAGAAGTGGCGTTATTTTCAGCGTTTGGATCACGAAAAAGTAAAAACATACGATCGTTTTGTAAAACTTTGCGAGCCGCGATACATAGAGATGCAGAAGCGAATACAGTCGATAAATCCGCCTTGTGTACCGTTTTTCGGTGAGTTCGCTTATTCTGTATTCCTTTTATGCATTCTTTTATCGCATCTGTTGTATGCTTGATTTATTTAAGTAAGTTTTACATTTTCTTAATTCAAAAGTATTCCGTGAATGTTTTGGTTTTAAAAAAAGGAGCAAATATCAGAAAAAATGATTTATTATTCGCTCTGTCACTTCACTCCTTCCATGGTGGAGTAGATTGTTTATGCTCTGAATCACTGTTCTCACCATAATTATATTTGTTTGGAGGCTTCGATGACTAGTTATTGCTACTTTTTATGGTCTGAGTCTGAGATTCAGTTAAGCTTCATGTCTCATAATTTTTTGTTCGTATGATTCATCAAGCGTGTAAATCATCTGTCCGAGGTAATTGATAGATGATTGTCTTTTGTCATACTGAAATGAAAGCAGACTTTTTTCTGTAGTTCATGATGACAAAGTCAACTAATAGAGGGTTGATGTTCAAAGAAATCTTGCAGGGCACTACTTATCGAATATATTCTTCTTCGAAGCAGGAAATAGTACATTTGTAAAATCTCCGGGAGGAACGTCTACTGAAGTACCACGCACGGTAAGTAAAGAAATTTGCGAATGAGACTATACAGAAGATCGAATTTTTTTGATTCTTGAAATTTCTTACGTTCTGCAATTCAGAGAGCAAGCTAGTAACCTATATTAATTGAACTTTTTTTTTCCTTTTTTTTTTCAATTTCTCTTCGCTGCTTTCTCTAAAGGCAGGGCGAAGGGGCATTTTTATCTCCTTATCTTTTTTTCACCAGTTTTCTTTCTGAGTGAACTGTGCAGCCATCTCCACCCGGTTTAGTTGCAGGATTCCTACGATCCCCAGTCACCTCCACCATCGAACAAAAGAGTGCTAGTGCAATTTCTGAAGTGTCGGCGCATATCGGATCTGATTCGAGAGATTCAAATGTATCAGAACCAGCCGTATGCACTGCAAGTTGAGAAGAGTATTCGGGTGGGTTCACATCTTTGGGTAAAAGTAACTCAAGTTGATTGGGAGACAACTCGAGTGGAAAACAGGTACTCGGGTGAAGGATGAGTAGCAAAATGGGTGCTTTGAAGCAGCATCTGTCAAGAACAGGTTCGAACTCGAAGGTTTGTGTGAGAAGATATGAAAAGCTTGTCTCTGAAAAGCAAGAGAACTTCAGAACTCATCAAACATTGGTCTGCACTTGGATTTTCTGCAGGTGGTGAAACATATCTGCTGAAATTTCCAGGGAAGGGAATCATTTGTTCTCTTGAGCTTTATCACGGTATATGCCTCCATAATTTGTGTGGAAATCACCCTATCTGAACAGATGTGGTGATTGTGCATATATAAGGATGGCTGTTCTTTGAGTTACTGGGCAATTACTTTCGCTTTCGTGGCATTAAAATGATGGAATGACTTATTTCTAATTGCTAATTATGGCACGAATTTGTGCTAATCAGCTATTTGTATACGATTATCGCATCAGCGTGACAATCGTCTGGGATGATGTCTCATTAGACGTCTGGCGGTTTGAAAAGTGTGCAACAAATTGGGTATCATCATCTGTTCCCAAAAACCTGCAATTAGATAATTTGAGCGGGTTTTTTCTGTTTAATGTTCGCGACACTGTCTATCGGAATTCTTTATTCGGGAAGAGTGAAGTAGTAGCTGCCTGGATAGGATCTTACTTCATGTGTTTCATAGGTGATGCACAAATGGGGAGCACTTGGAATTTTGCCAAAGAGGAGGCATTTTAGGATGATATTTTCAGCTCTTTCACCAACAATTTTTCTAGAATGTGAAAAGTGAATTTGGGAAAGTGGATGTGTTTGTAGCTCTAGGATATGTGGGTAACCGTTGATTGCTGATCTCCATCGTCTGTAAAGTAAAATTACTTTGTGACCTTGGTCATTTATAAGACGGTATATATGAAGCTGCATCAGAATTTTTCCTTTTTCTTGTACGAATCAAATGAAGTTATGATAGTTTCCTCTGTACTGATTTCTGTTACGGATGGTCGTAAGAGTTATTGAGCGCAATTTCTTTGCTCTCGAAATACTAAATCCAATGGAGTATGTTCAAGTGCAACAAATTTAATGAATAGTATTGTTCCAAGGCATGAAACAATAATCTGCCCGGGATATGCAAACTTTATTGTAAAAAATGTACCATTTACAATGCTTAGCGAGTAATGACACAGATTTGAAACAGTTTTTGACATGCTCTCATGGTACATTGGTCAAGGTCGCCAAATATCTCCTCCTCAAATACCCTCCAATATTTATATCTAGCCTGGAATTTGTGCACTTTCAAAGTGCACTAAACGCACCACAGTCCATCCCCTAAATAGAATCCTGCAGATTTCCAGAAGATTTTCGCAAGAAGAACATGTGCACTAACACTCACACTCAGTCATACACGGAAGTTTTAATCGTGCATGTAAGACCAGTAATGAACATCTAGTTTCTAGAAGTGTATCTCGTTAGAGTGCACGACTATGAGTCAGCTGCGGCCTAACATAGCTCGAGTGGCCTTAAGAGTGCAATGAGGTTGAGTCAGAGAGTCTTACTGTAACTGCGAAGTTTTAAGAATCTCAGATCTTTTTTCCACAGCTTGTGAATGTATGAGAGCTGTACTAGAATAAACAGCAGTAGTTTTGTTTTGTCATTCTATATGATTCTTTTGGGATGCTTTGCGCTGAATAAGAGCAGAGTTTAAAAGTACAAGGTGTCTAGCAAGAACATTGTTTGGCTTCTTTCCTTTGCCTCGCTTGAACCCTACTTCAGTGTATCGAAGGAATTCCTTCACCCTAGATTTGGAGCTCAGCAGATCACTGGCCTTTATGACCATGAGGTTACAAAACTAGTTTTCTTTTTACAATAGACTAAAAATTATGTAGCTTGCATTTCTACATTGGTGATTGCACTATCTTTTTGAGAGTAAAAATTTTTTTCAAGGCTCTTCAAACGTGTGTGCGATTGCTGAATTATGTATTCGAGTAATGGGTGATTAAAGTTGAGTTATTCATTGTGACTCATAAGGAAAGCTACCTAACTTAGCTCGTCCTTTTGATAAAAGGCATATACATTCTGAATCAGCTTCAAACGCTGATTCCAAATATGCTATCCCTAGCTGCCACGCACCATTGTGAAGCGAGTGGGCTTTTTCCTACGCAAAATTGGCATACTACTGTACATGAGAAGACTGCCTGTAGATAAAAATCTGAAAGAAAAAGGTGCTGAAGTATCGAAATAGTACAGATTCAATCTTTTCTCACTAAAAAGAGCTCAACGAAGGTGTATCCGCACTTAAATGATGATGACGTGATGCCCTTGAGTCGATGAGCATGCCAATTTGGCGCAGGAAAAAGCGCATAACTCGCTTCGGAATGGTGCGTGGCAGCTAGGAATAGCATATGTGGAATCAGCATTTGAAGCTAATTTGGTCATATATCCCTTGCTAAAAGGCCGAGCTAAATTAGGTAGCTTCCCTTGTAGTATCATCCCCTACTCAATGGAAGTTTGGCTTTTTGGCTTTTCATCAGCGGCTCATAGTACTTACAGCTAGAGGATTTCACCGCAGTCCTGTAGTAGTAGAGCTTCTGATTTGCTCCATACTCTGAATTTAATGCAAGTTGAAGCCAGTTCTGTGATGGCTGCAACTTAATTAGATTTAAAATATGGACCAATCTGCGATGACTGGCTTATTACCCTATTTAATTCATGGTTGTACTTTTCCGAACTTTTTGACACGCTAAAGGCCCTGAGGCGAGAGTGAAAAAACTTGTATTAGTATGTAGTCACTTCGCAAAATCATCTAAATCATGGAAGGCTTAAATTTCCATGCTGCCCATATTTATGTATGTTTTTCCGGTTGTTGGATCAGCGACAAAATCACAGCGTACCACTGATTATAGATTAGTAAGCATAGCATAACAATATATCATCTCTCCAATTATATATTGAACTAGGATAGATTTCTATCTGTACGTTAAGATCAGCGTGAAGTTTATGTTTTTCTGAAACCGATCTGTTGCCGTTCTGTGGATTCATATCGTGGGTGCCGCTGTTTCATGAGTAATTGTGCCCTAGAGCGTTACGGTGTTTGTTTTCATAGCTTACTCAACTAATAAGATCCTTCAAGATTATAATCGGTAAGGTGCAATAAGGAAGTATAAAGTATAATGAAGAAGGGAAGTGAGATATATAATAATAGTTTGTTGACTTCTGCTATGAGACTCAGCTAATACAACCGTAGTGGAAAATAATATTTCTTGGTTGGAAAGTGGTATAAGCGATTTTGACTTCATCAAGAATCATTGAAAATCTCAAAGATATTGCTTTGCGTTTTATTCTCCTCGAGTATGCTTTTATAGCAACATAAGTTCCAGCTAAATGCATACTGTATCTAGTCGAGGTTTTTCTAAGCCACTGTCCAGGGGTAAAAGATAGTGTATTCTATGTGCTTATTGTTTGCATTTTTTGACCCTTGGTTTGAGGCAGTGTCTAGTTAGAACTTGGCGCTCAAAATGATTCATAGGTCTTCCCGACTCTAACCCTATACGGGTTGAGTTCTGCATAAAAATTTCAAATCCAGCGCTTTTTGAAAGACCCGCAGAAACGCGGCCCATTTGTCCTCTCTGACCCTAGCCTCTGCCACAGTGGCTGCAGGGTTAATGTGGAATAGGCAGAAAGGAGGGAGGGAGAGGAGATCCAGTTAGGGCCGCGTACAATAACATGGCCGCGGGGAGGGGATCGCAGCTTATAAGAAAGCTTCATATTTCGAAACTCCAGATACCTGGATTTCACGTTGTGTACCTATCCGTAAGTATTCCTACTATCCTTCACTATGAACATGTTGAGCAGGAGCGACATGCTGTACAATCCGCATTTTCCAGCTTTTGTATGCCCTGATGATCCCCGGCGCTTTTCTTTAAAGTCATTTTTCTTTCTCCGAATTCAACGAAAAACTTCCAAAGTTGTGCAGATCATCTAACCCGACAGTGCTAAGCATGTTGCTGATAAGAACAAATGATGTTTTGAAGTCATGAAATTGTCGATGATCCACAGGTCGAAATTTGGGGTTTACCGAAAAATTCGATTTTTCAAAAATTCATTTGTTCTCATCAGCAACAGGCTTAGCGCTATTGTGTTAGATGTTCAGTACAACTTTGGAAGGTTTTCGTTAACTTCGGAGAAAGAAAAACGACTTCAAAGAAAAGCGCCGGGGATCATCAGGGATCATACAAAAGCTGGAAAATGCGTTTCGTACAGCTTCTCGCTCCTGTTCAACATGTTCATAGTGAAGGGTAGTAGTAATACTTACGGATAGGTACACAAAGTGAAATCCAGATATCTGGAGCTTCAGAATATGAAACTTTCTTTTAAGCTGCAATCCCCTCCCCAGCGGGGAGGTTAGTGCATGCAGCCCTTAGTCTTGTAGCGGCCTATTTAGTGGCTTAACATAATTGTGGAAATCCCATCCCCGTTCTGGTGAGTCACTACCCCTGGGCGACACACCTTGTGTGAATTGGACGAAAAGTTCTTTCAACTTTCGCCCACCGTACTCAAATTTTGATTGGTTCGCTCGAAAAGAGTGCTGTACTGGGCTAGAGTTTGGAATTGACTTTTTTGTAAAATCAAGCAATTGGCTTGCTTCCAAATTGCAAAATGGACAAGCATTTGATCATTTGGAATTTGTCATATTCAAATGAAAAGAACTTGTGGCATTTAGTCACACCAACGTGGATTTTTCAGTAGAACTAAATATGACACGTACTTGGTCTTTACTTTATTGCTAGCAGTTAGTCATAGACACGCCTAAAGCTCGTAGAGCTTGTATGAGCAATATTAATCTACTCATATAGCTCAGTTTATGACTCATGGCTACGCATTTATCCTATGCCTCATAAAAACGAGTGCCGTATGACTATTCTTTACTCGTAGCTTCGTGAGGATACTGTAGTCTTATTTATAGTCGCCGAA